GATGAGATTTTCTTAATAAGAAAAAATTAAAAAATTTGTGTCAGCGGTGGGATTCGAACCCACGCCCTCAAGAAGAGGATCAGAACACTCAGAACTGAGAATAAGAAATCTCAGAAGCTATTCGCTTGAGTCTGACTCCTTAGACCAACTCGGACACACTGACAATTAAGATATTCTCGCAAAGTGTTTTTCAAATACTCTGAGAAATGTTTTCACATCTTCTTGATGCTAAAAATAGAAATTTAGATTTGTCTGTGATGAAAAGTTTGATAAGATTGAAAATCTTCAAACTTTCTTCACTCACTTTAGAAAGAAAGTCAAGGTTAGTCAACACATTTCATCGTCTTTAGCAAAAAAAGAGAAAAATCGTTTCTCAATCAAACTTTGATTAAAAAAACAAATATTAATCAATCAAAAACCAACAAATACGTTTTTGGATTGAAACTTTCATGGAAAATTGTTTGAGTTGCTAAGTAATAAGTTCTTTAATTTGCCATTTATCCTGTGTTTATCCAACAAAAAACGAACGTCTCGACACTTCGTGGTACGTGCAACTAATAATCAGGAATTCCTTTTTCATGTGAACACCTCATTTATTATAAACTTCAAATTGAAAATTAAACACAATTCTGTTTTATCATGAGTCGCTTATAAAAATTTTCCCAGTAATTGATACATTGAAAGTTTTCCTTTTCTCAGAAAGTAATTTGAAGAAAATTCAAGTGACATTGTGACAAGAAAATTGCCTTCTTAGTACTTAAGTGACTTTAAATATAGTGAGTGAAGTTTTCCTTAAAGGTGGAGCTTTGGACTTGTTCAAAGCAATGACCCACTTTTTCCTTTGATTCCAATCCATCACAGGAGCAAAGCGTGAACATTTCTAATTGAATAATTTCTCTCTCACATTGTAACTTGACGATTTATGTAGATATGTATGTAAGTTCGAGTTGAAATGTGTTAAGCTTCCATCACGACTTATAATCACGTTATTGTCGAGAGAGAATAACTTACTGATACGCTTTAATTCGATTTTAATTAAAAATTCAATTGAGATTGACTGAAAAATATCCCTAATTAATTTATTCGAAACTACCTGCTGTCGTCTGAATAAAAAAAAAGCTTTTTTGCGTTCCTTTTGTATTTATTTTAATTTTTTTGTCGTTCATTTGCTTCAGCTCATGTCACAGCGACTACTTTATCAATTAGAAACAGTAATTTATTATTCACCTAAGTAATTCTGTAGGTTATTGTATCAAACTTTTTTTTACATTTAATTGAAATATCTAAGCGTCAATAGGCAATTAAACGGTAAATGTTCACCTAGCAAATCGAATCGAAAATGCCTGCAAATTTGTCGTGATCTAAAGATGAAGAAAACAAAAAGCAATTAAAAATCTAAGTGATTTAAATTATCCGCGCAATCGCTTAATTTTATGGCTCGCACAAACTACACTGCATTGACGAGAGACACAAATTTGGAGGCGCAAAACTCATCAAAGAAGTGAGAAAGGTGACACAATTGGACGCCTGGGAGAGCCTGTTTATTCACAATGGAATAAACTTGGTCAACATTGACGAACCTTTGATAAGGTCAAACCTTTTTAAGTTCGCACTTAACAATTGACGAACACTGAACAATTGCTTCAGTGTAGATCGAATCGTTCTGAAGATGACAGCATCGCTGTCGAAAATAGCTATTTAAAGGTAAATTAAATGAAAAAGTGAAAAGTATAAAAGTGTTTCGTGTCTATATTCGTTTAGTTAGTTAATTATACTACTTTTTACGTGCCGATAAAATATATTTAAATTACACAATTTCCTTACAAGAGTGTCAACATTGAAAGCCTGTTTCATGTTACACAATCGAAGTAAATCAGCACTTAATTAGAAACGTCTCAAAACGGGGTTAATTGATTTGTTTGAGCGACTTGCGAATGCTGAAAAAGATTGTGTTTCAATTAATGAAGATTAAATTTAAGATTCATTCACTTGACTTTAAGCTACTCATCTAACTCAAATGTTAATGATCATCCAAGTGATTCAACGGAATGGTCGTTTTCATTGTATTTTAACAAGTAACTGGAATCAACAAAAGTTGTAATTTTAAATTTTTTGCTAAACAATTCATTGGAGATAATTGAAAATTTCATTCAGAGAGGCAGGTGAGTTGATTGGTGATTGAACAAGAAACATTTGACTTGCACCTACTACACCCGTGACGAATTCTTGATTTTAAATTAATGGCTTTCCGATAATTGTCTGAACACATACAATGTAAGTAACACTTTCATGCTTTAGGCGATTAGAGTATTTGGAAATATCACTGAACATTCATCATGCGACATGTGTAATGAATTTCCACTGTTTATTTATATGACTTCAAGCTGAATGATTAAATTCAGTTAAATTATATTTTCCTTACCATGAACAGCATGTAGAGACACTACGGGCGAAAGCTTACAAAATTCTTTTCCAGAATAGTTGAAAGTATTTAATTGACATAAATTTGATGGAAGCATATCAAGGTAATAGAAAATTTCCTTCGCACTTCGTTCTTTAAATATGTTTCCATGTAGATTCATTCAAGCAATGATAACCATTAAATGGATAAACGTGAATGAAAAGGCAAATCGAAACTGTTCTCATTCTTCTTCCATTCTTTGATTGAATCATTTATTTTTAATGAGTATTTCAGCTATGTTGTTTTTCAGATCTTTTTCCGGAGCCGAATGCGAGTTCATTTCCATGAATGGAGATGAGGGAAAAAAAATTGATTTGAAGCATTTTATAAATTAACTTTGAACGCTTTTTTTTCTGTTTGTGAATGATCTAATTTTGTAAATAAACATATCTTGAGAACTCTCATTCATGTCTTCATCAGTTGGAATCAGTTTAAAGAGGAAGCATAAGAAGTAAATTTAAAACGGAGTATGTTTGTTCTCCCGCTTTTCGTATTAATACACAATTCAGAACATCTCACTCTTTCCTACCACATTTAGTTTTCTAATAAGATATGCTTTAATAAATTTTCAAATTATTGTTGTTAAATGAACGTACAAACAGGAACGCCTTTAGTTGAATGTAAAATCTAACAAACCTGAATAAAAATTCTTAAAGTTATTGCAAAATTAAAAACAATATTTTTTAACAATCTTTGTAGTTTGTTCATGTATTTCCCCTCTGACATGAGCGCATGCACACAATGGCGCCATGAAATTGCGCTGGAAAATTATGGCTTCAAAGACCCAAAATTAACTCGCCTTCTACAGAAAAGCAAAGAAAAAGTCGGAAGAATATTAAAAGGAAGAAAAATTGAGATTACAATCAATACCATGGAAGAGTTAATCAATAAGTATTAAGTTTCAATAAAGGCACCGTCAAAAACCAATCCTTTTTGCGGCAACACAAAAGTAACGTTTGAAGGCTGAATATTTCACAATTGTGTTAGTTTCAAACAAGAAATGCTATCAAATTTGGTTCCTGCAAGAAGAAGCCCCCGATTACTTGTAATAATAACCCATCAAAAACCTATTAGAAAACATACTTTTTTCTGTAAAGTCATTAGCCTTCCAACTGACTGGTAAACATTTGCAGCAGCTGCTTGTTTCAAACGTTTTCTCATCACTAGACAATACATTTCATTTCTATCTCATAGATACTTCTAGATAATAAAAAAAGAGAAATGAAATCTAATATATAAACAACCTACTGTCGGATGCAATATTAAAAAAATATTTACGCTCAATCCTGTCTTGGAAGTGAGATAATAAATAAATACAAGGCTTTAGTCTTCCTTATACAGAAAACGAAATTAATATCAATCAATTCTCTTTTGTAGCAGCAACCAAAGTGTTGCTCGATCCCTTCGGGGCTTATCCCTCTTTTTATAAATAAAAAAAGAGAGAGAACTTAACTGTAGAAGACCAGAAACACATAAAATTACAAATCGTTTTCTGTTTATATTTTATTGGCTGAAAGCGTAACAAAAATTAAGTCAATTTAATGACCTTCCACTTGAGTGACTTGATTTTGTTAGCAAGCATTGTAATGTAACATGATTTAAAGGAAAGGGATTTTTTATACATGTACATCAGAATATATTTATGTGCAGCATTTAACACTTGCAAGTATTGGATGTTACCATTTCGAATCGAGTGTTAATGAAATTCTTGTGCAATCCAGTGATAATGATTAAATCATTTATTACCTTACATTTTGCAACACATATTTAAGTATCGTTAATTAAAAGATGAAATGATTTATTTATGTAACGTCTCTTGAAATTTTTTTTCACTTTATTTATTAAGCAGCCAGTCGAGATAATAAAAAATATATTTTAATTATATACTTACATGTATTCAAAGTACTTGTAAAGATGATTATTAGTGAGGGACGAATCATTAACAATCGTTGCTTTTAACTTAATAATATTAAAAAAAATTAATTAAATATAAAAAACTTCCAGTAGTTTTGTTGAAGCAATTATTAATTTACATGTGAAGCATTCTCAGTTATTACTTCGTTGAACACTAATCAATGCATTTCAATTTAATTAAGATTATCTTCTGATCGGAAAGCAAGTCAGTCTTAAGTGACTTGTGGATTGACAGCAAATGTCTATATCCACATTAAACTTTAACTTATGAAAATGTTTAAGTGCAAAATACTTGATGATGTTTTGCCGAGGTCATTTTATTTATTATATAATTTAATAATTGCTTTTAAATTACTTTCAATTATATTAGCAATGGCATGTTTACCTAATATTTATAAGCGTTTAAATCACGAGCTATTCTTCTCTAAAGTGTAATGTGAATTTGAAGCATCAAAGCTTTGTTAGCTTACTCGACATCACAATAAAAAAAAGAAGCGCAACACTATTAATCACATCATTGGCTTTGGATGTGAAAAAACTAATCAATTTTCAAATATCTGAAGAGTCTTTTTTTTTGCTTCTTTAAAGTCACGAGGAAAAAAATTACACTTCATGGCGATTAATGTTGTAGATTTTTCTTTCTCGCACTTGATTGTCTGTGAATGTTTATACAGTTTTCAGTAGCTTAAAGCAAGAAGTAAAATATTTGCTGAAATTTCACGATTAGCGTTTTCTATTGAAGAAATCTCTTCCTGATTGATTTCTCATTCAGTTACTTAATTTACTTGATTCGCTATCGAAAGCTTCAAATCTACTTGTGAAAAAATTAGAAGCACTTTCCATTTAGCGGAATCCATCAGAAGAGTTTGAATAGTTTGAAAAACTATAAACTACCAGATGATTAATATCATTGAACATCGGGCTTCAAGTGCAACTGTTTTTTGATTAATATCGATTAGTTTTTTGTTATATTTCTGTTTCTGCTTTCAATAGATCAAAATTCTTCCGAAGTGAGTTTTTCGGTTGTTAAACTTTACTAATCCCAATCCCATGACCTGCTGAATCAAATTAATTCAGTGAGTTTATGGATTCGATTTCAAATCGAATGAAATTATTCAGCGAGTAGTGAGTGAGAAAATATCTAATTAATTTGAAATTTGATTCGATAATTTCCCAGACAATACTCGAGTGAAGATCGATATCATCAGTTGAATGTGTAATGAAGCTCATATTCACTTGTTTTGTAGATAATTTCAAGAGTTTCATCAATTTTCGCATTTACGTTTCTCTCATTTGTTCATCGCGTCTTCCTAAATCCATCAATTACCTGCAGAGACATGAACATGCTCGAAGCTTCCTGAGATTATAGAACTAATCATGAGCCTCTTACGAAATGAGATCATTACACAATTTTCCTCTCGGCTGTCTCAATTTATGAAACGTGTGGGGTCAGTTTAGGATAATTATAGTAAATCAAGTGTTTAGGATTTTTATGCTTTTCACACAAATCAAATCATTACTTCAATTCAACATCACCGACCGATCTCAATAACACGTAAAACAGAAAATGATTAATTGACTTCTTCCCAAAGATCAACAGTTGAAGACGATTTCTCATTTCTCCTTCCATTCCATTCATCAACTGTTGCAAATTGTTGTTATCAGGTGGCAAAGTGATGCAACTTAGTAATTTCTGCTTTCGTTACAAAATTCCATCAATTTAAGAAATCACATACGAGTAAGAGAAAATTAAAAGACATTATTCAACGGAATCAAAGATTCTTTGCCACCCAAAAGCCGATCATTGAGCGAACTTTTGCATAAAGAGAGCATGTGAAGAAGGCAAGGAAAGCAAAGGAATTAAAAGATGCAAAACAACCAGAAAAGATCAAATGAATAATTGCATTATGCACACTCTTAAGAGTCGCACAAGAAAAACGCGTCCAAGCCTCCAACATCCAAACAAGGCATTCGATTTCATTGCTCGCATATCGCCGGTTAGATGTGTTTGCAAAGAGTCGGAAAACTTCCTTTGATCTTTTTCTTTAATAACTTTCTTGTTGTGTTCGCAAATCCTCTTAAGTATTGTTAAGAATTTTTTTCTCTGCTTGCGAAATGAAAACAAAACGCAACAGTAAAGAAAGAGAGCTTTTGAGACTGTTGTGTGAGTGTTGGTTGAATCATCAGTGAGCTTTTAATGATGATCATAAAGCTTTCTTCTAATTGTGTGAAATTAAAAATTAATCCAAGTTCTTCTTATCAACGGATAAATTTGATTGTTTTTATTAATCACGAACAAAAAAATGTTTTTAACGAAATAAAAAAGTTTTTCGCTCCTAAATGAACTCACCATTTTGAAAGAGGCAAATCGTAATTAAACAAAATAGATTACGTTGTATAATGAAGATTATACATGATGTGATTTGATGAATTTAAAGAAATCAGCGTTTCATTAGCCGCAAGCAGCGTTGACTCCATCTTTAATAAATGATTTTTAAAAAAGATTAAAGCCTCAAATTAGACTCCAAATCTTCATCATCACAATGCAAACTGTTGATTGAAGCGAGAAATGAACTTGAGCCGCGCCTTTCTCTAACCAATCCCGTGAAGAAAAGTTAAATAAAGTCTAGTCAGGTGGTCTTGTTCAANACGACTTGCATTCTCATTCTTTCATTTTGAAAGGTTTTCACGAGAAACCAATTTAATTTTTTTTAAAGAATATATCACAAACCATAAATATAACTTCAGGAAGAAATTCAATATCTAAAGCATGTCAAAAAGCAATTCCAATGTTTGCATTTGTAAATAAGAATTTCGCCATTTTCCTTGGTTTTGTTCGCCACAGCAAAAAGAAATTGAAAATTTTCCATGCTACGGCTATAAAAATGAACATTTTTAATGATCAATTCATAAAATGGCAAGAAAAACGACTTCGCCATAATAAATTGTTGAGTAAACACGACGAGAACTTTCAACAATGGGGACGAAGTGCAAACAATTTTTATAGCTTTTCGTTCAATCGTGAACCTTCAATGCATGATAATGAAAATTTTATTTACTTCTTTGCACAATTGAAGACCATAGAGGTCTCGACGGAATGTCGTCAGCAGTTGGTTGCGGTGACATTTTTCAATTGCTGTAAATGATGAGTTTTTGTTGTTAGAAATGATGGTCTGACGTACTTAAAAGAATTTTCAAAGAAATTATTTGAAACTTAACGATAAAAACTAACAATCGAATTAATTTATGCTTCTTCCCATAATATTTACAACATGAGTTCCTATTAGGCAAGTATCAGTGATATAAAATGATTCCAGTTCTCTATTCCTCAGCTTTCCTTTCACCGCTCATAATTAATGCTTGAGGGATAACCAAAAATAAATATTAATTCAGCATAAAAGGTGTTTCTTTTAATCAACAACAAGACTCACAAAAATGTGTTTGTGAGTCGAGTTGAATGATGAAGTCGCGGTTCTAATGATATGAATTACTATCCACATTCCCTTTTTATAAAAATCCACAAAAAATATTTGAAAAGAAAACACGTTTCCGATGTAAACCTTAATTAATATGTTTGGTTAAAGAATAATTCATTCCTGTTCATCGTTGAACCCCACAAATACCAGAACAAATCAGCCATTGTTAGAAATCGTGTTTCAATTCTCTATCTCGAACCCCTGAAACTATTCCAGGATTGCAGTTCTATGGCGGTGAAGTGAACAATGTTCAACCAAATTAAATCATTTTTTCTTGAATTATTTTTCTCATCAAAAATTGAATCATTGTGAGGTCTTTAGAAGAATTTATTGAAGAAGATGAAAGCAAGTAAGTGAACGCGTTCTTCAAACCCTTTGAGGCGCTGAGACGGCGTGCATTCGTCCAACCTTCTTTTTATTATTTCATCAATGGCTACCTACGTCTTCGCGTCTTCTTGCTTTGTTGCACGTTCACCCGCTCGCTTGTTTTCTCTACCGGCACTGATCTGATGCCGTTTTGTTTCTTTGGTGGTCTAACAACATGCTTAGTTACAATCATTAATTTTACTTTTCTTTCTCGCGATAGCTCTCAGGTGCTTAAGAAGCGAGCTTTGTATATATGTATCTAATAACCTGCGCTTTTTAATGAAGTATTAAATTTGTTAATTGACTTAAAGCAATTATTATGATGGATGGAAAGTTAATTATTCGTCATTCACTCAACTATACAACAAAGTAAACAGTAACCACCGCAAGTTATATTAATCAGTGAAGGGTAAGTAAGCATCTTGGAAGATTTTTTGATTCATTTGAGATTGACGAAACCGTTAAATATCTTTCAGTATCCGCTTATGATTTCTACAGTTTAATTTATGTAAGTTCTGCTTTCATAGCATCATTTCCATTGGGAAGTTGAGAAGTCATTGTAAATTGTTTCCTGTTCAATTAAAACATTTATTCATGAAGTTTTCATAAGCAGCCCATAAACTTGTCAAAGTAGAATTTATCAATGACAACTTAGAGTGTCAAAAAAGATTTTTTTTCGGATCCATTTTTAAAAATTTAATGAACTGAACGTTTCCCAAGAGGCAATGTAACAATTTTGAACTTCATTTATTTTTCTTTGAAACATTTTTCTTTAAATCAAAAAGCAACTTTTCAGTTAAAATGATGTGAGCAACAACAAAACATCTTTTTTCACCCTAAGCGAATGTTAAATCATGTGACAAATATGTTTGCTTAAGGCGTTAAGCGTCAGAGTAAATAAAGAAAGCCCATTACATGACACGCCACAAAAGAACACCATCAACTACAATGGCAGCCAAATAATAAGAATGACAAGAAAACAAAAGATTTATTGGAGTTTTTACAGCAAATCAAACCCTCCGGAATATAACATCGGGTAGAAGGGAAACACAAAAGACTAGAAAAAACACATTTTCACTCACTATGTCTCTCTTTTTCCCTCACTCTTGAAGTTAAATGAATTTATTGCCGATTTTTCAATTCAATTTGGATTATTTTGTACACTTTGATTTATTGTGTGGAAGCTATTTGTTTTCATTTTGTCACGGAAATTTTCCAGTTATCTCTGACGCGTTAGAAAGTAAATTAAAATTAAAAGGAGTCTTCACTGCAGTTAATTAAAGTATGATTTGAAAGATTTAGCTACAGTGATTCGAGTTTTAATTGAAATTTATATTTTAATTGAATGAAGAAGTAAGAAATGAAGAGAAGGAGTTGAAAGCTGTGAAATTAATTGTCTAGGAATGTTCTATTGTTTGAGTGACTTAGAATGTATGTTTTGAAAGATATTTTTATATGTTAATATGCAACATTAATCTAGGAAATGTTATAATATGAATCTTCATCAAAATGTAAATTGAAACTCGTTGCTTTAAGATATTTGGAAAATTGGATAAATTTTCGTTTCCGATGTTTGGTGCACATCCAATGTGGGGTTAAAAATCATTAGAAACATTCTGTGAAGTCAGAAAGAATATCAATTTACCTATTAAGTAAGTAATATTTAATAATATTTGTAGATACATATCTGAAAGGAATTTTTTCAAAAAGAACCCAAAGCAATTCATCATTCAAAGTGAAGTTTATTAAATGATAATTATAATAATAATATTTGAATTCATAGCCAGTCTTTAAAACTAAAAGAATTTGAAGAACAAACAGTAAACTTAGTTAAAGAATTTTGGAAGTACATTTATTGTAATCTTATCGAGAATTAACGATTCACTCGTTAGCTATGCTCAATCTTGTGATCATGAACAATTTTCTTTTTCAAAATGTTCATGTCGTTGACGTTTTCGAGGAAACTTTTATGTGCTGTTAATAATTTTACGCTCTCGACATCCTTTTTAAGTTCCTCCATGTCTCTTTTCATTTTAGCTCTTCTGTTTTGGAACCAAGTAATGACCTGTCAAAATGAGAATCGCCATTAGGAAATGTTTTAGAATTAATCGAGTTATGAAATTATCACCTGCGCATTTGACAATCCCAAACCAGCTGCAATCTCATCACGATCTGCTGGGGATAAATATTTTTGATAGAGAAACCGCTTTTCAAGCTCAAAGATCTGATGATTAGTAAAAGCGGTGCGAGATTTTCGTTTCTTCTTTTGTTGAGGTCGATTTGAAAATAAGTCGATTGAGGAGCTTTCTGTGGAATTAAATCAAATTGAACATGAAAATATTTTATTTTTTAACACTTCTTTATTTGCAATCTCACCTTCTTCCTGTTGCTCATCAAAATTCTTGGTCGAAAGTTGAAAAAGTGCATCGAGTGGAGTTCCATTTGGAGATTTATTGTTGTTTGATTGTTGCTTCTGTTGTTGTTGTGATCTTCCTGAATTTTCAGATGACCGACCAATGTCTGGTGAACAACAATCGCTTGCAACAGAACTCGATCGTTCTGATCCACTCTCGGAGGGAATAATTTCCAAGTTCATGTGACGAAGTAGCTGAGCTTGAGCTCGAAAATGTTCCTGAAGTTGTTGATGATAATCCATCGCTAATCGCTGTTCATAGTGAAGAAGTGCAGGTGGCAGAAGTGGTCGGATCGAGATCGGATGTTGCAGATGATCCCACGGCCTCACAATTCTCGCTTGTTGTTGTAAAGTGTGAGCGAGACTGTTGATTGTATCACGGGGGTTTGAACACTTATTCGTATCACGACCTAAGATATCTGCTATGCTAAAACTCTTAACACCTTCCACCGTTGACTTCGCAGCAGAGCTCTTGGTGCTTCGACTAGTATCACTGTGATTATTGTTGTCTTCTCGATCAATCATCTTAAGACGTTTCAATGGTTGAAAATAATCGTCACCATTTTTAGATGTTTCGCACTCAGATGGTGGTGGCGATGGAGACCCAACTGAGATTTCCGAGCCCACGGGACTCACATCACGACTTACACAAATTCTCGTTTGCATTTCAAACAAAACAGTTTATTGCACTTTATTGTTATTATTTATTTTTTTCACGTAATTTATTGTTTCGTTGTTTGATATTTTTTCGATTTAAAGTTTCTTTCCTTTCATTGCAACTTGTAATTTTTTTCTAGAAAAATTTAATCATGTAACTTTAATTAACTGTTTGCACTGTTTTCCATTTGAAAGTCCTATTAATTTTCAGATTGATTGATGGATTCAAATTAATACTTTTTTTTCTTTATTCTTATTCGTCTTGCTAACGAACCGAATGTTATCACATAAATAAAGAGACTGATTTGAAAGTCTGTCAGAATTTTTTTTGTGCAGCACGAAGTAGAAGAAAGGAAAAGAGAAAAGATGAGACTCCGCCTTCTTCTTTGAATGTGTTGAGGCACCAATCACAATACATTCCCAAAAGCTTTTATTGGTGTTAAAAAAGCTTAACGAAAAGCTTTTCTGCGGTTAAAAACACCAAAAAAATAACTAAGAATAAATATCCAGAAGCTTTTGTCATTTATTGTAAATAATTTGAATAACCTTGGGAAGCAACAAATAATCAAATGATAGTCAAATCTAGGATATTAAAGTAATAAAATTTTTAAATCGTGTCTATCAAACAAAGTAGGTTAGTTAAAACTAAACAACGTCTCTTTAAGTTAAATAAAGAAAACCCCGTCAAGTTCTCATTTCGTTCCTACAGTCATGGTTTAATAAAAGTTCTTATCAATTAACATGAATCATGAAATCACGAAGTTAATGAATTAAATAAATTCGATGACACCTACTGACCAGTTGACTTAAACTTCGCTGTGAAGCTCGATTGAAACCAAATAATTAACAATTTAAAACATCGAGCAAATAGAAGAGAAAAATATTAAGTGTGAAAATCGTGTTGCGGGAATTATTTTATCAATCAACATGAATGAAAATTGACTCGCGTCGACCAACTTATCAACATGCTCTAATAACTTCATTAAAAGAAGAGACGAACAATGAATTGACATTGAAAGAAGTTCAATCAATTTTAATTTGCGTTTATTAGTTTCTGTTTCTCTCTTTTTTGCAGGAAAAACATTGATGCGAAGATAATGTCGATAATAAGTTGGACAATTCATCATCTGCTCCAGATTTCATAGCTTATGGGTTTAAGTGCGAGAAAAAAAGGAAAAATCAATTTAAACCTCATTTATCATGTTCATATTCTCTCCTAACTTCAACTATCAACTATTCTTTTTTACTCTGAATGCTACAAATTAAGGTTCTTCACACTTAATTTGACTGTATTTAACATCATAAAACAGAAATGTTTTCTCTCACTCTATGAATAGAAATGAGGTGACATTCAAGATGCATATGACAGACGAAAATATTTTACGAAGAGTGAAAATTGTATTCGCCCTAATTGTTGATTCGTTGCGGTTAATGAATTTTCAATTGATTAGCAAAAAGAAATACATTTGTGACATGGGAAATGAGGACCAGAAAGAATTAACGATGAGTGCAGTTGTTGAGAAGTTTCTAAGCCATTATAATTCACAAGATGTCTTTAGTAAGTCTTTGAACTAGATCATTCAACATATTTATGTAAGTAAGAAATTATAGAGTTGGCAGTTTGCATTAACTTCGCTTTATCTTTTAATATATATTTAAATACAATTATGCATATCTCTTCATGTTGCAATGCTCAAACAACTCGAACAATCCGTTTGTAGAGCAATTAATAAACTCAAAGTTTTCAACTTAAACAAGACATCAACAGTAAATCTATTCAAAATATGATTGGCCAATATGAATGGCGATAAAATGTTAATTTGAGCGAAAAAAATTTATTAAATTTATGCAAATTTATTTGATTGCACAAGTCAACTAACTTTAATTAACAAAGTCATATATAAATAGTTTCGACATAATAAGACTGATTTATGTGCAATTAAATATTATTAAATGGGCGTAAATTGACGCCAACTGAATTAATTGAATTATATTTTAAATTTCAAATTTAAATCCATATAAAAACCTCTTTTGATTTGTGTCAAAAGACAGCAGTAGCGAAAAAAGATCAGCAAACTCATCATCTGAATTAAGCATTGTTAAAATTCTATATTAACAAGGGAAAAAAACATTAAATAAAATTTGCAATCGAGCATTCGGCACTTAACTTGTGAATTAATTTTTTATGATTCTCTCCCTCAACTGTACATTAATGAACGAGTTTTATTTATTAGTCGGCAAAAAATCAAAACGTTGAGAGAGAAAGAATGATTTCATATTTACCGACAAATTAATTCTATCTCATGCTAAAAATATTGTTTTTTATCTTAATGACTCATCACATTTCAAAAGAAGGCAAAGTTAAGATGATGGCCTTTGTATTTAATAACTCTTAAACATGATTTAAGTCAGTCAATTGTATTAAGCGTTAATGAGATTAATAAACGGAAAAAGTATTTATATAGATTGAAGATTTCGCACTTCTCAGAAGTTCAATGCCGACGGTAAAGTTTAACTGGTTGGATATTTAGTTTCGGTAGTCTGTGGAATGTCAAAGTTTCTGAGTTGAGACATAAGCAGACATTTAATCCAAGCTTAATAAACATTATTAATAAACTTATTGAAGTGCCTTTCAACAACAAAGAAATTACCAATGGCCTGTTCTTCTCTTCATCATCTCTTCTTCACATTACTTACTTATCTTCGATTTTCTTGTATCTAATTAATTAGAAATCAATAAATTCTTATTTGTAATTATTAGCGCGATATAAACTACAAATCGATAATATTACACAGCTAAAGTATTCGCTGATATTAAAATCGATATTTCTCTTCTACTTTTCCTTCCTTTCTCTTCATCTCGTATTGCCTGTTTTAAGGCATCTTATAATAATATAAGAAGAAAAAAAAAAGCAAATTAAAAACAGATTGAATCTCATTGTTCAAACTAATATGTTATGCATGAAAGAGGCCGCGGAGTCGGGGATAAGAAAATTTAATAAAGAATGATGATCAAAAGGGAAATGCCGACAATGGAATCGAAGAAAGACGGGAAAAGGTTTCTTTTCTTGGGTGGTTGTTGGTGTGATCCAATAAAGTATGGAACGGATAATTATTTCTCTCTGGGACGTTATTCAACTTCGCTTTACCTTAGTGCTTCAGACAAATGTGATAACCCTTCAAGAACCTTCAACAATTTAAACTTTTCTTGCTTCTTTCGCGTAACCGCAAACTTCTTTAAAGATTTTATTTTTCATGAAAAAAATGAAGTTACTTTGAAAGGCTCTTTATTTAAATTTCAGGAATTTGTTTTTTGGAAATTTGTTTAACCACAAACAGAATTTTCTTAAACATCAGGACATGAGAAATCTAAAGATGATCAGAAGATTATGAAGCAAATTCATTTTGAAATTTAAATACAATTCTTACCTTCAATACATCTGACCAATTGACTTCCATCAACCAATGCGACTTGTTAACTTTAAAAAGGAAAAAAAGCCTATAATAAAAATGAAGAAATTATAAAGAAACATTAACAGGAAGCACTTTACGCTAATTGAAATTCGTGTCTATTTTTATTTATTAATTTTATGGTATCTAACTTTCATTTGTATCTTCCTTACATGTCTGTCTTCTTCATATAATCGCTTTAGTGAACATGAAGAACCTTTAATTATATTTAATGTTATGACACTTTCATTGTACTTCACGTCCATTTAATGAAGTGTTTCTGACGTGAGAAAACCTCAATTCTTATGGGATGTCATTACAGTGATTTAATTTGAGGGAACTAAATAATTTATTGTTAGACTGGAAATGACCAGCAACTCTTCAAATAATGTAAAAAAATATTAAATAAGTCATAATAATTATATTCAATTGAGGACTTTTATTAAATGATCTTTTTCATTATTCTTCTATACAAGCTTTTTAAAGTTCTTTACATTTTTACAGCCAATAAAACTACTTTACGATTCCAAAACAACTTTCGATTTATGTACAAGCGCAAACTTTTATAATTTAACTAAACTTTTTTCTTTAACTTCCGTGTAATGCTAGACTTTGGGGTGAGAAATAATCTGGTGATTGGATGTGCCATAAGTTTATTCAATAAACTTTCATTTTCTTAAATATGTGATCGCATGTTGTCATCGTGAATGCTTACAGATTTCTTCCTGAGAATATTCATATCATTGACGTTTTCCAGGAAACTTTTCTGTGTGGTAAGTATTTTGACACTCTCGACATCCTTTTTCAGTTCTTCCATGTCCCGTTTCAGCTTCGCTCTTCGATTTTGAAACCAAGTAATGACCTGTGAATGAAATTAAATTGTCAGTCGGAAGTTAGGAAAGAAAATTTCATTTGTTTCATTTACACAAACTTTGCAGATGCGGAAATGATTAAAAATCTCGTTTAGACTTTGCTCTCCTGTTCTGAAACCACGTGATAACCTTCAAAGAAAAAAACGGAATATATTAGAACAGGAGTAACAAAAATGCTAAACTTAATTAAATTGCCTGCCAACGCATAGTCAACAACATCATCAAGTTTACAAACGAATGAAAGATATTTACTTCGATATCTCTGTATTCATTCATATGTAAATTGCAATTTCTTGCGGCCTTTAACAAAACCTATGCAAAGAATGAATTTCATTTGAATATTTGTAATATCAGCCTCGCAATTTCAAAGAGAGAAAAAGTCGATAATTTGCATCTTTCAGCGTTTCTTCTTGCCGAATACCCTAAAATGCAATTCAAATGTGCAATAAAAAAAAAGAAACTTTATTAAGCATTTTCTAAGACAATTGTTTTGAGAAGTAATTGGTGGTATAATTTCTCGAAATTATAATCGGATTTGGAACAAGAAACATCAGAGAAAGAGACGGCAAGATCTAGTTGAAAGTGCAAATTGAAAACGTGTTTTTAACTCTTTGTCGGTTTATGTTCGCGAAACGGAACAAAATATGATGCAAAATGTGTGTTGAATGAATTGAAAAACAACAGGCTAAGGCTTAAAAGCCGACATCATATGATAATTTATAGATTTGTTGATACTTTATACGCATTCCATGACGTTAATCGCATATATTATGAGTTCACGAGTGCTTAACGTCGTTCCCTCTTTGACATGAGCTGATGAAAATATTTGCAAGAAGTCTTTACTCCTTAATAATAATAACAAATTGAACAACACGATTATTTTAAAGATAGGTGGTAAAGTAGTAGAAGCATATGGGGACGTTGTTTTGATGATTCAGGCCGCCGTTAATACTGCAAATGATAATTTGGCAATATAATTGCGCAACATGGAAAAGGATGGCAGACAATGTGTCGAAGCTTGAAGCGATAATTAAATATAAATACCTGTGCATTCGATAGTCCTAAGCCAGCTGCAATTTCATCTCGATCTGCTGGCGACAAATACTTTTGATAAAGAAATCGCTTTTCAAGTTCAAAGATCTGATGATTTGTGAATGCTGTTCGTGATTTTCGCTTCTTCTTCGGTTGTGGTCGTGAAGAAAATAAGTCAATATGCGGATTTTCTATAAAAATAAAAAGAGAGAAATTTAATGACAATAGTTCAAAATCACATCCAATTACGATTAACATCAAAAGTCAATTGCACAGCAGAAATGTTAAATATTTTGAAACTCTCGACACTTCAACGATTCTTTCGTCATACAATCATTCAAATGGCGACCGCACACTAAATAGTAATACATTTGACATCATTTCCTGTTTAAACTTGATGCTTTATTTCCCTTCATCGGTAATTTATGGCTTTCTCAATGTTTATGAGCCCGCATATCAACTCTTTCGAATGTTGTATTTGTATAAACATTAAAATGCCATTTTCTTCTTGCACGGGAGGCTTCTTGACTTCTTCTTCTTCTCTAATTGGATTCGACATTTTAGGCTTTGTTTGTTTTTCTTCATTTTTGCTTTTACGCTTTCATTCTTCTGATATCTTTTTTTCTTTTCTTTCCGTTTCTGTTTTAATATTAAAAGAAATATGTTTAATCGACCAATCGAGAACGAAACACCATTTCTGCTTGTTCTGCTTTATCAAATAAATATTTTGAAAGCAACAATGATGAAGTCAATGTAGCATATTATTGAAGTGCGGCTTTCATTGTTTGCTTTCTTTCCATTCCATGTCTATGCCACTCAAATTGCTTGTATTTTTCAATTTGAAACCTCAGGGTTGGATTTAAAATAAATATGAGATGAGAAGTAAAGCACATGGCGTTTTATAAAACTATTAAAGTTAATTGCTTTTTATTTCATCTTATTCAAAGTGTCGACTTCAATTTATTGGATAGCGAATGAAAGAAATTTCTTTTCTTATGTTTTTTTATTGCTTCAATCTTTTTGTTTTCGTGTTTTTCCTTCATTTCTTGATTCTGCAATGGCAATACTTAAGTTTAATGCTTTGATAGCATGTAAGCAGCACATTGTTAAATTTTCTTCAATGTTAAGTCAAGGAAAACCGCACTTCACATAAAACACGCTTTTAATGACAAATAAGAAACCGAAAAAGAAAGAAAAAGTAGATATTTTGGATCTCTAAACGTTTTTAACATTATTAAGGCAGTCAAAAGAGCAAAAACCGCATTTTCATAATTTGTTCTTCCTTTTCGTTCATATCGAAAACAGATCGTTTAAAAATGACTTCAGAACATCATTAAGGCGGCAAATTTCCATGTTTTTGAAAGGCTCTTAAAAACCTTTTTTTATTCGAATCTTTGTGACGACAGTAGCTGAAGAGGTCCACTTAACTCTAGTCATTGCAATGTTTCAAGCTTGACATTTCATAAGCAATCGTTAATACAAATGTTTACCACAGCCAGCAGAGTGAAACTCTGCAAGTTATTTTTAGCCTCGTTATGTGGCATTAAGAGAAATAATTAAGACGAAGTTTCACGTTTGCATAAAAGCTTTGACATGAAATAAAAAAAAATACGCTGATTGTTAAATTGCCATAACAACGCCTCGCTAACGACTTTGACAGATTTCTGTGCCTGTGCTGGCAGCTTAAAATTTGCATGAATTTTTATTGTTATTTATTAATCAATCACAAAATGTTTCTTTTGCTCTTTATTTTCGCTTGAGAACTCTTAAAGCCGTCTATGTGAACTTTGTTAATTTTTATAAATACTCAATAAATTTAAGTCGTGATTGATTAACGTGATGACTGTAAATAATGTTGCTGGTCAATAAAATATAAATGTCACGTAATATTAGTCAGCCACTAAGTCTTTAACGAATGATTGAATAAAATTTTGTGCAAATTAATATGAAACATTATTAACCGAGATTTCTTTCGAAATTTAAATTCATTTTGAAACAAGTTCCAAATCACTAAATATTTTTCACATAAATTATGTCAACAACAGCTTATTATTATGAGAAACTTGTTTAAAAATGAAAATTTGAATAGTAAATTGTTATTGCAAGAATCAATGATGATGAACAAAAGTCAGCCGACAAATGACCTGCTGAGCTGTTAATTTCTCCAACCTCTTTTTGTTACATTGCGTTATCCTGTTCTGCTGAGACCAAATGAGTAATAAAACAATTAGGATCGATGAAAATTGCTGTTTGTTTAGGATGTTTTTGACTCTATTGATTGCACATTAAGGAGTGGAGAAGGGTCTAGGAGTAGAGTTTCCCTTTTACGCTTCAAATTTATTTCATGTTTCAGTGTGAGAAAGGAAGAGAAAAGACCTCACACTAGGGAAGTTCAACATGTTTCTCATTTACAAAGAACAGACAAATTCGCACATTAATTATCTTATGGCCTTTCAATCAACAGCTTCACAAATAGCAAGACTGTTTTTCGACCCTTCTGTCCGAGAGGTCGTTAAGATTACGAGCATTGAGAAGTCCGTGTGAAATTATCGGACAATGGATCACCCACTGGTTGCAGAAAAATCAATTGGCTCGAGTTACTGAATAGTTAAAAGTGAAATTTATGACAGAAGAAAGGAATCTGGTGTTGAGAGTGAAAGAAGAAGAAAACACTTGAAGAGTTGTGCAACACATGGTTGAAAAGATCAAGTTGGTGATAATATCTGGGTCTCATTATGAGTTGAACAGTGACATTAAACTCCACATGTTTTGACATTTTATGAAGAATCTTCTGTCGTGAGTCTCAATTAGGATAATATTATTTATCCTTCTTTAAAAGTATTCACAAAGAATCATTGGAAGATCAAATCCACTTGAAGTTATCTTTAAGAAAACGTATGCAAACAAAGAACCATTATGCTCAATTAGAGGCAATATGTTTTGTTATTCCTTCTCCACTTCATGATATCTTAATTATGCTTAATTAAGCTTCAAAAAAAATCGAGTGTTGTCTGCTGATGAGATATTCGGCAAAGAGAAAGGAACACATAAAAATAATTGGAATTGATTAGAAGTGCTGGCTATAAAAGTTAATTGAAAAGAGCGATCAATAAGATGAAGCGCGTCGATTAAAATTGAAATGAAAGAAAATTGAAATAACTGTCAATTGACTTGAGAAACTTTTGATGCTTCATTCGGAAAATTCAGATTAAATGGTGCGTGTCCTTTCTCATTTCAATTTTCTGTTTTTGAGCGATTGTTGAAAGCAAGAAAATTAACAAACCCAGTAAAAAAAACTTGACGGAAAAATTATTCTTAAACCAGTTTGATAATTTCTGTTTCTAACAAAGCTGAATAAATATTACCAACTGGGATTGACAACCACTCGTTTATGTTAAATAAGAAAATCAAGTGAATAACAGAAGCGCGAATTTCTTAAGCTTTGCTTTTGCACTGTAAAATTATTCCGCTCAATGCGCAAAATATTAATTTACGGTACTTGCTTTCATTTCAAATGGTGTTGTTAGCAAATTGTTTTCTTCTCAATATTCATTTACTTTTTTTTTCCTTGATTCTTAATTGAATTAATTCAATGACTCGAAAACCATTTCGATGGCTGAAGCAAAAAAGAATAAAAAAATTGAAAAGCCAATCGAATAGTAATCGTTTAACTGTAGTTTCGTTAATTGTTAAGAATCACATAATTGACTGTTTCTCTTATTTTTTAAGCCAATCATTGCCTCACTTCAGAATCGATCAAATGGAATCAAAAATTGTTTTTCATCATGATGCATTAACTTGGAGAATTATAGACCGACTAACTGTGTTGCGAAACTTTTACAAGATGTTAAGTCGATAGTTACGTTCGTTGATTTAACAACTTAACTGAATTCTGCTTAATGCCAGATGCAACAATGTTCAAACATTAAACTCGACAATTTATTTATTTATTCATAATTCTTTGAATCGAAACAAACATAAATTTCTCTTGAAAATCTTTTTCTAAATTTAGCTTTAAAGAATTCATCGAGGACGACTGCTTTGTACAATTTAAGATTATTATTCTAGTTTAAACTTTAACATTCTACGGTACGACGAAAAGTAAATTGTTCATAACAAATCATTTAATTTACCGAGAGAGTAGACAACTATTAATGTTGCTTCGTGCTTAACGTTGTTGAAAAAAAAGAGAAACAATGACACAAACTGACAAACAGAGTCAACCGTTTTAACGATCGTGCAGGTGAAAACTTCCCTCCATAATGGGGCACGTTGTTGAACAAATTGGCCCGAGGTTAAATTCAACTCAAATGTGAGATCACAATGAAGTAAGTGGTCGAAGATTCTTTTCGATCGAAATTCAAAACGAACAAAATTCTCAATTTGATGCACCATCAAATGAAAAAAAAAATTCTTTTCAGCACAAGTGTCCGAATCGAATCTACTTTAATTAAATTCAATGCAACGTGTGGTTGATAAATGCAAGATATGTTTGTATTTATTTTATATCCGCCACGTCGTAATGCTTAATGGATTTCTTTCCATCTGAGTAGGTTCATTACGCTTCAATGTATTTGATGAATTTAATACTGACAAGAATTGTAATGATGGTAATGAAACGGTTAAATGTTAGTTCAACAGTACCAACCATTTATCTATCTAGATACAAGTTTTATAAAAAGAACGCTCGTTTTGTTTTTCGCGCTCTCAATCTGTTTAACATAAAAGCACTGCCACCCATATTTAACATGTCTCAATTATGATTCATTTAGATCCAATTATAAGATACTGTTCTGAAACATAATTGGCTAAAATTAAGCGCCAAACAATTACAAATTGATTTCCAGTACAACCTGATAATTGATTTTTTTTATTGTCTGTGATCAAAAAAGTTTTAAAGCTGAATGAAATATAATAAGTAATTGTCTGTTATATGACTCCAAATGAAGCTGGAGATTCTTCATGTATTGAATTACAATTTTTCTCACGCTTAATAACGAGCAACTTCTGTAGCTGTTTAATCGAGAACAAACAGAAATTTTAGAATATCCGACAGAAAAAAAAAAATAAAACGAAAGGCGTCTTGTTTAGAAAGAGAGAATTTCCTTTCATTGCATGTTCATTCCTTTCTAAGATTTAACACTGACATGGAAGAATAAAAAACGTTCTTTTGTTGCCTTTTAATTGCCTCATAATACCGTCGATTTGAACGTAGAGAGAAACATATAATCCGAGGCCTCCCATACAGCGAAAAAAAAGCGCAACGAACAAAGATTTAAAAGACCAGAGCAAACAAGCAGCTCAGGCAACAACAAAATTGATCAAAAAAAATGATAGAGTTATTACAAATAACACATTTCGATGGGTATCAGATTTTTAACCCGACTCTTGCTTTACGTGCGTTAAAAAAAAGTACAAGAAATAAAAAGGAAATCTTCTTCTTCCTTTGTAGCTTGTTCCTTTCAATCCGACACACAGTCAGACTTCTTCTTTCAGATATTCTACATTGCAAAGATCTCTACGTGTGTGTATAAACGCTCCTAATTTCTACGATAGCTTACGATACGTATTCGTTCTTCTCTCGTTCAAAGTCGGCAGTTCTTTTTGAAACTCAATCCAATTAGCTCGATAAACCGACACCTCGAGAGGTAACGTATTAGTTACGAGAATATATGCCTTCGTTATTCTTCCAATAACCTTTTTCTTGCGTCCTTGCAAAAATCCAAGCAAAATTCAACAGACTTTGGAGATGACAGGAAACTTAACGAAATATTATTAATATTCTCAAAATTAGCGAAGTCAGCGCGATACGACAGAATTAACATATTAATCTGAAATGGTCTCGGGCGGTGATCAAAAAGGTTCTAAAACATATGTTTTGGCGATTTTAAAGACGGCGCAAAGAATTAAGATCTTGTTTGATACGGCAAAAAAAAAGTAATGAAATCCCAGTGTATTTAAAGCTGCTTAAAGTTAATTACAATTGTTTTAAATTATTTATTTATTATTTTTATTCTTTAACTTGATGAAGCTTTAATGAGTTGTGTAAATCAAACAACAAATCAAAATATTTTCTCATCATCACTTTAAGATGTTTAGTGCTAACTGGGCTGTAACAAAGCCTTAACAGCAAAAAAGAAAAATTAAAAACTTAATATGCACATAACTAATGTGATTCCCTGAAGCAACTGCATCAACAACTAACAACGGAAATTTGTAATCAGAATAGCGACAAAGTCTCTTAGAAAATTGAATGCTTTTTAATATTAAACGGCTTAAATAAGAGAGAACCGGTATCGGTGTTGTTTTCATTAGTCTACAAATTATTTACATTTAACAGCTCGTCATAATCATCATCACATAGTTTCATGGATGAAACATAAATAAAGAGTACAAGCAATAAATGAAAAAGAAAGTTAAAAAATCTGCGGCATAAAACCTATTGATCATCTATTGTGAACAATCATCTCGTTTTAGTCTCTTTGCCTTCCCTTTGATAATTCGATTCGAACGCAGACAGCAACACGAAGAATGGGCATTAACTTACTGTGGCTAATGAGACTATAAAGAGATTTGTAACTTCTTTCTTTTGACCGAAGATCATGTCTCTCTCTCACTCTCTCGTTTCTTCGAATTCACACAATTCCAATCTCGTTTTGAGCGTAAATAATGCAAAGCAATTGTGAGCTGTTTATTGTTGGTGAAGCGTAGTATGTTCATCATCGTCGTCTAGTTAGGAATCACATACTTCCTTTTATGTCATGCTTAGCGTTGAAAGGAATTGTTCAATAAACTAGCTCAGGGAAGGCGTTATGATCATATCAAAATCAGTAATTATTGATCAAATGAGATCTAAAGATATCTCATCAATCATGCGCATCGAATTGAAATAACGATCTTATTACGTCAAGTCTTCCTGTGCTATTGTTGCTGTACATGCTCTTTTGGCTTCTCTTTTTCACCCCGAACCCGACACACACAACAACTTGTTAAAGACGATTAAGAAAAAAAATCTTGTTATTTATTCATCAATCGATTTCTTCGCGGAACCGGCCTTTGATTCCTTTTCGAATTTCAAGAATGATGAAGAAAAAAATTCAGAAGTAATTTCGGGCAATAAAATATGAATATCATTCGCCACGGAGTCTGTAGACGGCTCATTTATTTCAAATTATACATCCGTTTTTTATAGCCTAAGATTGAGCTTCACTCTACTGTAGAATTCACTTTACATTATGCTCTCGGCTCATGAATTAATGTCGGTGAGTTTGCTAAAGGCAAATGCATTCATTTTGATGAGTAATGTGTGTCGCTGAAAAATTGCATACTTATACTCGTTTTAAGTGAGTAAAATGATTGAAAAGATGATGAATTTGTAATAACCATTAAACTCGATTTATAACAAGCATGATTAGATTGATTAAAAAAATCAATCTTTCGAAAAGAGTTTCCAAAGAAAGACCGACATGAAATGTATGATTTTATGCTGCACTAATATGAAAATTGATACTTTATCAGAAGAAATCATAATTGGTCTTGTTAAAAGTTTATTCCCCTCACATTAATTTTCTTCTTTTTCGATTTTTATTAATTCAATTTACTTCGTATGTTGGCTTGAATTTCATATTTGTAACTTTTTGGATGAAAATTTCACTAAAAAATGTTTTTCTGTGACGTAACTTGCTAACTATTCTTAAGCATGCCGTTAAGTTAAACTTCAATCTTTCATATCTGCATAATTCTTTATGCTCGTTTTAAATATTTCATTCCATCGCGAAATAAGTTTGCTTTATGTTGTGCGTTCCGAAATGAAGAAAGGCTAAGAAGGCGCAATAATAAATGGATAAAAATCAATCACGAAAACAACAAGCGAGTGAACGAAATGATAATTTATGAATAAATTATGATAATTGACGATGGAGCTTCTGTTAGAAGTCCCTCTCGCTCAGCAATAAATAAATTACATCTCTTTTATGTTGGATAAGATTCCGCATACGATAAGAGAAGTCAGCGGTGTTTGAAGTTGAAATACGGAACCGAAAAAGGTAAACGAGAAGGCAACAACATAATTCATGTTCTTTTAAATTACAACAGACACACTAAAAATCCCAACTTGTTCCACACTAATCGATGGTAAAATGACTAATTGATAATTTTTTATTGCTCAATAATTTGTCGGTTGCATTCTCGATTTTATATTTCATGAAAAATTCGATGAAAGAAATTTCTCCCAACTTGCAGGTCGAACCACTCGATAATTTTACTTGAATTGACAACATAAATGCAATAAAACATTAGCGACATATCTAATTAAATGTCACTCAAATACTTCTTTAATTAGCACCTGTTTTACATTTCACTCGATAATTCAAGGGACGGAAATCATTTTTCTTCTTATTTCACTTTTTTTCCTTCTTGCAGCACATAAATTGTCAATTACTGAATGTTGCCATTTGCATCAACTGTCATTGATTTTTACAATTGCATATTTAAGCTTTCATCAACTGTTGTTGTTCTCGTTCTTTCCGTCTCGTATGCTTGAACAAACGATGTAAATTATGGCTAGTTTATTATTGCTAGTTTACTATTTTTTTAACTTTACAATGTTATCATGCGCTTATGCAAAAAATTTTGTTTCATATTTTATGATCGCTTAAGGAGGAAAAATTAAGTACAGTGGTGGATTGAAGAATGAAGTAAAATCGAAATATAAACACGCTTCATAAACTTTACCAGGAATAAATTGTTCATGACACTTTTGAGTTATTTTTCATGCAATAATTTTAATGTTGAAAAGTTTCTGTTATTCACTTGGTGACAATTGAACTTACACAAGCTTCGTAAATTTACCTCGAAACTCTTGAGTGTTTAATCCCATCGTAAATATTTCCAACTGGGAATTCCATTCAACTAACACAAGTAAATTAACTTCATTTGATTATGTTTTCCTTTTTCTTCACGTTTTGATGTTTCGCCGCGCTATTATTTTGTGCGCTTGATTGTTTTACGATTATAAGTTGTTAAGATTTCTTCGTATGCGTGCATGTCTTCGACTAACAATCACGATAGAACGGAATTAATGAAAAATTTAGCGCTTAAGTCTTGGTTGAGAACGCAAGCAATACATCAATCACTCGTAAATTTGCTTGTTCACTCGATTTTATGATAAAAATATTTTTTTAATTGAATAAATCTTTATAACTTGCGAAGCTGTGAAATTTGTCATATAAGCTTGAAAAATTCGCAAGTTAAGTCGTTAAGAAGTGCAATGAGGTAAGTTTAAGATTTAGTTTGACCTTTAGGTTGAAACCGGCAATGTCATTAATTTTTCGAATAAAGTTTTCTATCAAAAATACCCGAAAATTCCTTAATTGCCTCGGACACTTTGCACCTTGAGTTGATTAACTTTTATTTGCTTTAATTACATTTATGCAACCGCTTTGTAATTATAATAAATAAGTTGTTGTTGTGACGGATCGGAACTTATGGATAAATTACGGGGTTTAAATATTTATCGAAACGTTGTTGTAAAATTCTTTTTTATTCGGGCATAATTGTACGTTTATGATGTTTAGTGATCAAAGAACCTTCTTCACAATTAAAACTCACCTCCTTCGTTTTGTTGTTCATCGAAATTTTTATTCGAAAGTTGAAAGAGTGCATCGAGTGGAGTTCCATTGGGAGATTTATTGTTGTTTGACTGTTGCTTCTGTTGTTGATCTCGTTGATTTTGTTGTTGTGATCTTCCTGAATTTTCTGATGACCGACCAATGTCTGGTGAACAACAATCGCTTGCAACAGAACTCGATCGTTCTGATCCACTCTCGGAGGGAATAATTTCCAAGTTCATGTGACGAAGTAGCTGAGCTTGAGCTCGAAAATGTTCCTGAAGTTGTTGATGATAATCCATCGCTAATCGCTGTTCATAGTGAAGAAGTGCAGGTGGCAGAAGTGGTCGGATCGAGATCGGATGTTGCAGATGATCCCACGGCCTCACAATTCTCGCTTGTTGTTGTAAAGTGTGAGCGAGACTGTTGATTGTATCACGGGGGTTTGAACACTTATTCGTATCACGACCTAAGATATCTGCTATGCTAAAGCTCTTCACACCTTCCACCGTTGACTTCGCAGCAGAGCTCTTGGTGCTTCGACTAGTATCACTGTGATTATTGTTGTCTTCTCGATCAATCATCTTAAGACGTTTCAATGGTTGAAAATAATCGTCACCATTTTTAGATGTTTCGCACTCAGATGGTGGTGGCGATGGAGACCCAACTGAGATTTCCGAGCCCACAGGACTCGGAACTGGACTTGCACACATCACTGCCAGCATGAATTTCTTTATTTTAAATTTATTCGAGAAAATTTAATTTAACTTTTTCTCTAAGAATATTTTTCATTCATTTCTTATGCCGTCGCATGTATGGAAAAGTTTTTCCCCTTTAATGGCTGTAAATGTTTTTTTTTTTTCGTTTAAATATTTTTATTTATTTTTTATTGTTCACATCACTTAAATAGAGTATAAAACTCTAGATAAAATAATTAAGAAATTAACCACGATACGATAGATTCCTCCTTGATTTGCATTTTATTTCTTAAGTGATTTTTTATTTAAATTTATGTAAATTTGATGAAAAACCGCATTACTACACTTCATCAACTACAACACTTAAATATATTTGTTTTGTTTCAACATCAATTTGTTGACAGATTGATTAGTGTTAATTGAAATTGATTTTAAATTCAGTCGATGCGGAGGAGAAACAAAAAAATTTAAATTAAATATGAATCGAACGAACCGAACGAGAAAACTCAATCGTCGAGACTGAAGCTATGTTCGTATGTCTGAAAACTTCAATGCATTGTGGTGAACGAGTAGTGTAGGAACGGTGACGCCCATAAAACTCTTTCACAAACCGACCCAATCAGAATGTGACGTTAAAAAGCTTTCGATTGTACACAAGCATAATGTCGGTTGATGGTTTTCATGACGTTCGCTACTTTTATTCATCAACTTAATTTATTACACTTATTCACGTTTTCGCTTGTGTTTGTTTGTGTGATGATGGCTATGAATAATGTACAAGCATTATAGCTTGTATTTTGTTATGTCGTTTCTCATTTTTTTAATTAATTAATTCCGTTTGTTCCTTTTTTCTAGATTAATTTATTCCGCACTTTCCTTCTTCTTGATGTTCTTAAATTATAAGGTGTTTGAAGCTTTTAATGTTCAACGTGGGTTTTTTTAATTAGATAAATATCATCGACTTTAAAAAGATTAGAGATTTTTTGCTTACAATAGATCATAATCAGTAATATTGGAAACGTTAAAAGCACTTTTGTAAATTAAATCTGGTCAGTAACATACAAAAGGTTTTTAATTTCTTTGAATCTTTAAAAGTCGCATTTTCTCGACTCAAGAATTTTGTGAATAAAACTAAATTATTTGAAATAAAAAAAGTCATCAAATCAAAACAGAAATTCCAGAATTAATTGAGACATTTCTTTCTACTTTATGAAAATTTCATGTATGAATAATCTAAGTTTATGAACTGTGTAAATAGGGGCTTGAAAATAAAATATTGTGCATTAATGTTTTCCCAGCTTTTTCTTCTACTATGCCTGAGATATTTAAACTCTCATAAATGTCTATCAACAACGACACATATGTGAGTGCGTGAATAATTTTAATAGCGTTCTCTTCCTCGCTTCTAAATGTTTCAAGAGTCGACTCATCGTGGCGAAGGGGAAAAAATAACCATTTATGAGTTAATGAATAACTTGAATAAAAATGTTTTTTCTTTTCTTCATTCGATGATAAATTTTTTTTTCCTCTTTTGAAATGCTTTTTAATTTAGAAGACTGAGACATGTGATGGGAAATAATTTAATTGAAAGTGTTTGTTGATGTGAATGATGAATCTGTCGTCAATTTTTAATTGAATACTTTAATCGTAATTTTAAGTCATTTAGGGTGAGAAGAAAATTTTGTGTTCATTTTGATCTTCTTATTAATGTTAATTATATCCAGGTGTGAGTAACAATTATTTGTGTAGCTTTAAAAGGAAAATTGCTTTCATTCTAAGAGTTAAATGTGAAGAGGTCGGTGAAGAATAAAAAGAATCGTGAATTGCAAATGTGATCAAATTTGATATCGTTTGTTTCGTGGTTCTTTGTTATAAAGCCGAAACAATGGATTGTAGTTTGAATGATTTATGTTTAATGTGTGCAGACATATAATTTAAATTTGCTTTCGTTTCGTGTGTGACAAAAAGAGAGAAAATAAAGAAGACAAAATGTATATAAATATTGTTGGCCTTAGACATGTCATTATGTCATTGCAGTGTAATACATTTTTACGTGTTGATCATCAATAGTCAACCAGGTTTCAACAAACACTGAAGTTAATAATATTAACCGAGAATTCTATATCTGATGTCAAATTTCAAAATATAAATTTAAAAGCAACAAAGTCTCGGAGATAATTTTCAATTAATCATGGTTTGTGGCAGTCATTTTTTATGTTGCAAAAGTATTCACTTTTATGACGTCTTCAATGAATCACGAGAAACTTAAAAGAGAATCCAAGATAACGCTTCTGTTGAAAAGTGATGTCACATAAAGTTTATATTGAGATGTGTCTGTGCAGAAGGTCAGCTAAACTGAGATGTAATTGGCATTGTTTGCAGAAACTATTTGAATGCTTTCAGCCATTGATGCCTATAAAACGATCGTGTTAATTTACTTAAATACTAAAAACAATATCCAATTTACCACTAGTTGATGTTGTCAACTAGTAAAGCATCGGAAAGCTTCAAGCTTATAATGACAAATCAAATCAATAACAAACCTTGAATCTATTTAAAAAAGTCGACCTGAGGCCATCGTCAAATTTTAATCCAAACTATTGATTCCACAACTAAACATTGCTGTTTGTTGACCAAGACAAAGGAAGAGAAAAAGAAAGAGAGACAGGGTAAGAGAGAGGTGAAAATAATTACATTATTAAACAAACGAATATCATGGCAGGTAATTTGTAAAAGCAATAAAATAAATGATGGAAAACGCGCATGGGGAAAGAAGAGAAAATGAACGAAATTAATTAATTATAGAAATGAAAAATAATGTTGTAAAAAAGCTTAAGTAGTTTCTGCTTACGTACAAGTCATTATTTTTTAAACAAATACTAAAGTTGTATCATCAACCACCGCAATACAATGAAAAATATTTCATTGCCGACATTATGTTTGGACTGTCAGTGAGCTTTTGTAATCTCGCATGCGATTGGTTGAAATGTTGGCAATGTTGGTGTGAAAAGAACAAGGAAAAGGCGTTTCCATGATGTTCAAATATCTCAGACTTTTTACAATCTTCTCGTTTGAAACAAGATTTAGTCTTCTTATTAGTGTGAAAACTTTCGGGTCGATAATTCAAAAAATGTTAAGCAAACGTGATTGAAGAAAAGATTTTAAAGTGTTTGAAAAGATATAAAAAAAAAGAATTGAAGAGGAAAATTCTAAGAATTATGCTGGGAAATATTTAAAAATATGATAAAATTTGAAATTTCTTGAATTGTGAATTTTTCAAGTTACAAAATATAAACTTCGACAATATTTGGTTTTTATAAATAAAATGCAAACGAGAATTTGTGTGAGTCGTGATGTGAGTCCCGTGGGCTCGGAAATCTCAGTTGGATCTCCATCGCCACCACCATCTGAGTGCGAAACATCTAAAAATGGTGACGATTATTTTCAACCATTGAAACGTCTTAAGATGATTGATCGAGAAGACAACAATAATCACAGTGATACTAGTCGAAGCACCAAGAGCTCTGCTGCGAAGTCAACGGTGGAAGGTGTGAAGAGTTTTAGCATAGCAGATATCTTAGGTCGTGATACGAATAAGTGTTCAAACCCCCGTGATACAATCAACAGTCTCGCTCACACTTTACAACAACAAGCGAGAATTGTGAGGCCGTGGGATCATCTGCAACATCCGATCTCGATCCGACCACTTCTGCCACCTGCACTTCTTCACTATGAACAGCGATTAGCGATGGATTATCATCAACAACTTCAGGAACATTTTCGAGCTCAAGCTCAGCTACTTCGTCACATGAACTTGGAAATTATTCCCTCCGAGAGTGGATCAGAACGATCGAGTTCTGTGGCGAGCGATTGTTGTTCACCAGACATTGGTCGATCATCTGAAAATTCAGGAAGATCACAACAACAAAACCAACGAGATCAACAACAGAAGCAACAGTCAAACAACAATAAATCTCCCAATGGAACTCCACTCGATGCACTCTTTCAACTTTCGAATAAGAATTTCGATGAACAACAAAACGAAGGAGGTGAGTTGAATGTTAATGTTTAAAGTCATTAGTGAAATACTTATGTGAAAGGATCCAATTAAATTGCATATAATTTAACTTTCGCCGTTATTTCTACATTGTGTTAATAAATTTTTTATGCGCATCAAATTTGCTATCATTACGGGACGGTTTTACATCTTCAGTTTCATCTCAAAGTGCGGCAAAATGTAAAGGAGTCGGAAAAAAAAGCAAACGAGTCATTTCTTAAGTACAAGATACAAAAGACAAAAATGAATGTAAAAGAAAACTGTTTTGCATAAAGCTGTAAAAACCTGAAAGTACGGAACCGAATTTACATGACATTGCTGCACAAATCTTGCTATTTTATGGCCGACAATTATTAATTGTGATCTAAAAGCAAATCTCCAATTAACTGAAATTTAAATCGTTTCTTGTTTCACGAGCTGTTTATTATGAAACTTCTCAATAAATCACAACAAAACTTGCCCGTAACTTGGTCTCGATCGTCATAATTCTCATTCTGCTGTTCGCCTTTTTGCATAAATTTCTATTTAACATATTTAATGATATTCATACGGCTGTAAATTATTCATTAATGGGCATCCACTGCCTACGAGCTTTAATTAAATATTCAGTCGAACGAGATTATATTGCTATGCTTGGTGCGATAAAGTCGAAACGGAAAATATGAAATCGTAAGTCAAGTATCTTTAACATAAATGTCCAACGTTCAACAGCGCCACATATTTCTTTTCCCCCTTTTTTATTTTCAATTATTTTCGGTGTTCAAGAAGAAATTCTTACAATTCTCTGAAGTTATGAGTTTACCTTCTTTTCAATTCGTATTTTCATTTTCTTTTTCATTTCTTCTCTTTGCTCAATTGACTTCTGTTGTGTTATTGAGTGGCTAACGCCAGGCGACAACAACGACAACCCAGATGGTCTTTTGTCAAATTAGAGAACAATGAAGCTGAGTGCCGTGGATGATAATTGTTGGAATTTCACAAATATGTGAGTTCGAAAACCACTAAGTGGGTGTTCTTCTGATGGATTTTCAAATTCCTATCAATGCGTTTTGTGCATCAATAATAAATTGATGGAATTCTTTGACGCTAGTGCGCTATTAACATCCAAAAAAATTTCTTTCAACTTAAAACTCGTAAACTAAAATAAAAATAAAATCTTGCACCGAAAAAGTTAAATTCCAAAGTCAAATGAGTGAAGAAAAAGAAAAGAACTTCTGCCAATGCTGCAGAGATTCCGTAGATGTGTTATGAAGAATGTGTGATGTAGAAAGAATCGTTCAACAACAAAGAGAGCCGCTCTCGGCCTTAAGGTGTCGGTATATCAAGCTAATTGGAAGACCATTCAAAAGAAACCGACCCATCCATAACAAGAAATTAAGAATGTATTTATATATCTCTCTTTGTGAGCCTTTTTGTAACTTCTTTAAGAAGAAGAAACTTCTGTTTTATTTTTTTCATTTTGATCAATTTTGGGGATGATTGCGTGGGTGATGTCAAACTTACTTAACAACCATTAAGATTAATGTCAAGAAAGTATTTTAAAACTTCTTAAAAAAATTAAATTCCTTTTCGCAAATTATATGAATGACACATGGTTGGTGGTAAGCTTGTGTCAAAACTTTCTTCATTCGTAAATAAAGTCGACAGTGAAATGAAAATAACAAGAAACACGAAATCATTTCAATTCGTCTTTAATTTTCATCGCACGTATAAAAATTCCTCGACAACACTAACCAACTAATATCTCTATCACCTTTTTGTGTTTCGATCGATTGGGTTGTTGTGTACCTGATGCTGCTTGTTTTCATGTGGTGTGATTCTTTCGATACCGAAATTCAATATGGGAGGGCTTTTTAATGTTGATCTGATCAGCGGCATTGTTAGTTGCTGCTGACTTATAAAGAAAGTTCTTTATGTTGTTCAGCATGACTTCTGACAATTTTAAGCTTTACAATTTATGCAAAGTGTTGAAGATTAAGGCTCATAATTGAATTTAAAGCAATTTAAATGTAATTTATGAAGCTTATTTCACTCAATTTTCGACCACAAAACAGCCGTGAGAAAAATTTATTGAATGGAATGATTTTGTGCTAGATTTTCTACTTAAGATATCTTCTGCAAAGTGTTGAGAAAAGACACAATTAATTTTCATTCCAATTTCAAGTCATTAATATCATCGGAATAAAAAAAATCACTTGGAAGCTAAATTTTATCTAAGTTTGATCGCATCTTTATTTCTAATTGTTTCAAGCGCCAAGAATATTAGAAAGAGAAGACAAAAGTAGGAAAATCTCGTTAATTTTTAAGCAGACGAAAAGAGAGATACCAATTAGTTGGTATTAAATCACTCGTTAGTCAGAACTTTTTTTCACCACTTTGACGATTCTTGTTCACCGACTTTTTATTAATTTTTAATAAGCTGTCGGCATTTGATTGTGCGAACGATTTTTCTCTGTCTAAACTTTTATTGTTTACAACTGTCGGAAGATTTCACTTTGAAATATATGATTTTTATCTTTAATATTTTGAAGGTTCTCCTCAATTTAAAGGTTTTGCAATGCTGTCTACTTGAACATTGCACTCGAAAGCCTATCATTTGCTGATACGCGCAGATTTCGATTAAAAGAATTATTTCTATCGACAATTTAACACAAAAGAAACAACAATTCCGGTTTTTGTTAGATTGTAATGTTCTTGACAGCCTTTGCTGATGAGAGAATTATTATTGCTATTGAAAGGTAATTGAAACATGAAAGGATTTGAACAAATGTTTCGTCATGACGTACTAAGCGAAAGAAGAATCATTTTGAGCTTCATGATTGTAATAAATAAATGTAAACCAAATGTTGACGTACGTTCATCTTTGTTGAGAAGTTGTTTGTGATATCAAACGTATAAGGCGAAAAGAGTGAAGAAGGAAGATCGATCGGCTTGGTTTGAGATGACTAATAAGAAAATTGTGTAGCGGCTTGAAAAAGCACAAAATTCGTTTGAACCATCACCGGCCAACAGAAGTAATAATTGGTGTGAAAGATTGCTTCTTTCATCTTGCTTTCTATTGCAGCCTTTTGTGTTATTATTTTGGAATGATGCGAGGTTCCGATGTCTGTCGATAATTCATAACTTCTTAAGGAATGAATGATTCATACTTATTTGGAAGGCGAAGAAGCTTAATATGGCTCGATATCAATACACATTACAAATCCATCGATGGTTCTAAATGATTTCTGCTGTTGCTTTGTTGTAACTGGCGTATCGATACACAAATTCTATTCATTCTGACAATGGTCGAGCTGTGGCTGAATAATAAAAATCAGTCAAATTGAATTTTATGGGTTATTGATTTGATTTATTACTCGTTACGGTAAAATATGAATTAGCTGTCAGTGGAAGAAAAATGCGCCTCCATCCAAAAGCAAACCTTGCTCTCATCAAACTTAGGAGAGTTAATTAATTTATGTGATGTTTACTGTAATTATGCAACTCACTAAAACAACCCGCAAGGCGCTTAAACAATAAATTAGTTGAACCATTTAACGCGCATGCAATTTTGTAATTAAAGTATATTGTTGTTCAATTATTGTTTCGAACTGAATAATTTGCTTCTGTTTCTTTGACGGACACTAATTTGCTTTTTCAAGCAGCTTATCTCATTAATTATCGCAACCAAAAATCGGTAAATTACCTTTTCAATTTGCCTCACTTATGGCTAAATATTTTATGCAAAATTATTTTTTTATTGTGATTACTGTTAAATGTCGAAATGAGTTTGAAAAAAATCATTGAAAAGTGTCATAAAGTCGAGCGATTTAAACAAATTTCATGAATTACGAAAATTTGTTGATTTTTTTACTGTCAAACAATTTTTACACATAAATCAAAAGATTCATTGTGACATTTTTAATAAATTATTCCCTTCTCAATTACATAATTCTACTTGAGTATTCAACAAAGTCACTCAGTTGGAAAAACATCAATTACATCTAGCAATGCTTGCTTCATAATGAAATAAACCGAGACAAAGTACCTAAGTCATTTATAATAATAAACATCCTTTTTTGATCGATCGACTTTGAAATTAATTAAACTCAATTCGTTTCGGGCACTTGTTATAAATTTAGCAATGGAATAATTTAACAATTTCGGAAACTAGTTTAGACATCTTAGAACATTTTATAATCACGAATTCATTTTTACACATAAGAATTAAATTTTGTGTTCTTTTTCACCTGCGCGTTGAATATTTTTGTGAGTCAATTTTTCACGGTAAATATTTTATGAAAGCGATCGAATCTTTAATTAAGTAAGTAAAAGTGAATGAGAAGGTTTTTTTTTTCTACCTGGAAGAAACTCAATGTGCCACCTACATATGTAAGTCCATTTAGCCACTGTGCAAGCTTCTTCGTTTCTTTTTAATTGCTTTGGTTGCTTTCACACCTAAATGTCAGTTAAACATGAAACCATCATAAAATCGTTCTTAAAGCAATGAAAGTTTTACGATCGTGGCTCTAAAAAAAATGTTTATCTTAAACCGTCGATGTCTGGATAAGATTCCAAGCGCAACTTCTATTTACGATATGACTTAAACTCTGTTTGTTACTTTAAAACATAAACTGGGTTGAATCAGATTATTTGCATAAATTAACCTTCATTGCTTCCAAAGCAATTAATTTGATCGCTGACCATTAAATGTATTGATTTTCTATGTTCGTGCTATGCTAGACTCATGATTAACTTGACTAGCAATTACACTATGTTAAACTGCTTCGTTTATAATTGCATGTCAATAACTGATTGGAGCAAAAGATGGAGAAATTTATATTTAACAACAAACATAGTTTCAAAATGGATTTAATCATGTTTTAACTATCAATTCAAAGGAAAATTATATCAAACATTAAGCAAAATTATTGCGTGCCTCCTGTGTCGTATGTTTAAAATGTTTTTCTTTTTAAAATGAATCATAAAATATTCTTTTTAAAAAGGTCAATAACTACATCGTGTTCAATCAATTTAATGTGCTCGTAAAACAGCGAGCTTAAATTTACTCTTGTTTGTCAAATAAATTAATTACAAAACGACAAACGTGGTTAAATTGGTAATTGAAGTGAAAACAAAATTAATTATATAAAAACATTAAGTGCAATGGAGTAATGGAAGTTTGCTTTTTTAGGAGAAATAATCCAAGTTTTCATGAGACTGATGGTGGTTGAAGCAGAATAATTCTCAAGAAAACAAATCCTCATTGTTCTCAGCAAGTAAACAAAAGCATAGACATTAACCAGCATTATTTCAACACACACACGCAGCTCTTGATTGGTCGATTAAACATTTAATAATAATAAAATAAAACAGGGGAGAAGAAGAAACGAAGAAGCGAACATAACAAATGTCACTTTAGATTAAGAATATAAATACCATTTTATATTATTCACTGCTGGCAGCCACTACGAGCGGGTATGTGGTTGGAAATAGGTGAAAATAAAGATGGAAAGAGAAATGAAAATTAGAGTTGGAAACAGGAAATGATGTTGAGCAACGCATTGTCGACTGTGTGGTCACAAAACGTCAAACTTTTACTTAGTTTCAAGCCATTAATTTTCACAATTGACGTGTCGCGTTTCTGCTGATTTTTATTTAATTGAATTTAAACTTTTTTTTCCTCCTTTCTGTCTCTTTTTTTGTGTTCTGCGATGAGCCATTCAAAATGGTTGTTTAAGATTTTCGTGAAATTAATCGTATAAGAAAGAAGATCAGAATCGCGTAGAATATTTAGAAAGACGAGAATGGAAAACCCCTTGGCTAGACAAGCACTTAATTAAGAAATGTGGATAGCATATTGCAAAAATAAAAAGAATTAACGACTTTCTACTAAATATAAAACTAATCTCAAATCAAAAACATCATAGACCTACTTAAGCTCGTTCAGTTTTAATTGGAACTGAGATGAATATCTGATGCTGATGCTCGCAGTCAACAAGATGATCAACTAGTGAAACTCGTTAATGAGAAATTGAGTTTTAAGCTTAAATATCTGATCTAAAGAAACGCAGCGCTTTCGGAAAAGGTTCTTCAATCTTTAAAGAAGACCGTGAATTTCAAAGGAAATTATTCAAATCATATTTTATGTCTAATCATCACATCAAATAGATTAGTAAAATGTTAAAAATTTATCTCTTTTTAAATTGGGAAACAAGATGAGAACAATATCAAAAGGCACCGAAAATAACAGCGAAAGAATGAAAATTTCAATTTTATGATCTTTCGCTTGCTGTTTAACTCGCTTTATAAGGAATAAACCGGCGCTACCGGCAAAGCAATATAAGAAATGTAAAACTTTGACTCTCGTTTTTGGCGTGATCTCCTATGGATTTTCATTGGAAATTATTTATGTATCATTTGGATCTCTTTTTCTTTCTTAAATATTAAATATTTCATCGATTATTTGTTCATCTACTTTTCAATATCATTCCAGAAAATTCGCATTTAAATTTATTTGCAACGCGACCGCAGCCAAAGAAGAAGAGAAAATCAAGAACTGCTTTCACGAATCATCAAATATTCGAGTTAGAGAAACGATTTTTGTATCAGAAATATTTGTCACCAGCTGATCGTGATGAGATTGCTGGATCTTTGGGGCTGTCAAATGCACAGGTAAGAAATTAATATAAGAATAATTTCTTTGAATGAACGTTAGGCTAGTAAATCTATCAACATCATAGCAGCACAAAGAATGTTCAACAGTCTCAAGACATAAATAATATTTATGAAAAGAAATTCTTGAAACAAAATTTTTTTTCTCATCCCTTTTATCTCATTTTTCTTCCCTTTCCTAAAGGTTATCACTTGGTTCCAAAACAGACGAGCAAAATCGAAAAGAGACTATTGAATGTTCTGATGCCAATCGCCACTAAAAAAATCTGATTCGATTAATGTAATTATGGCTTCGAGTTAATTATGATATCCCTAAAATCTTTTACACAATCTTGCATCCATTCTTACACCTTTTTTATTATTAATTCCTTATTTTAAAAGTCTTGGTCCTATAATTATGAGAGGTGCTTCTTTTGAAAAGGATTAATGTCTCTAATGTATTTTCCATTCCCTTTATTTTCGCAGGTAATCACCTGGTTCCAGAACAGGCGAGCTAAAATGAAGCGTGATATGGAAGAATTAAAGAAAGATGTTGAAAGTGTGAAGGCATTAACGGGTCAGAAGAGCTTCCTGGAAAACATCACCGATATGAATCTGCTGAAGACCAAAAGCGTTCCGATGCATGATGATAGTTTTAGCCCGCAGAAGTGATCAGTAAAATTCCAAAAACGAAACATCAACAAAAAACATTTCTTGAGTTCTCTTTAACCTTCGCTTCTAAGACTGAATTATTTATTTTTGCTTGAAGAAATCTCTTCGTTCACTTTGCAATAAAATTTGTGAAAATTTATGGTCGGAAAAATGTTCCTGTATAAAAATATTGTAAATAAACATCAATTTAAAACTGAAAAGTCTTTTGATTATTAATTTTAAAGATTTCCATGAAACTTCCTTCAAATTACTACATTAAGTTTTATATTCCAGGAAAACAAACAATAAAATCAGGTTTAGAAGTTTTTGTGCATTTATTCAAACGCAAACCTCACGCGAAACTGTTTTAAAGAATTTAAAACTTCTTTTAGCGCTTTGAATGACGAGCTTAAAAGTTTACCGAGAAAAGCTTTCATCCACCTATACAAGTAAGTCGTCCATGTCCACGCCTTTACCAAGAAGGCAATGGAATATGCAGCTTGAAAATCATAAATTGCTGAACGAAGTGCATTTTGACCAACAGGAAAATATTTCATTTCGACATTTGCAAAAAACATTTATGAGGGTTCATTACAAAGCATTGAAAATCGAGCCAATGTTAATTTAAATGTTTCTCATCAAACATGACATGACGACGAGTGCCTTTTTTCTCACAATTTACATTATTCATTGCAATCTGGTTTTCATTGAGTTGTCATTAATCTAAGCTGCAGAAACAGCTTCTACCGATCAATCGAAAATTCATTAACCGAAACAAATCAACAATTAGGGCGAATACAATTCACACTCTTCAAATATTAAATATTTTCAACTGCCACATGGATTGTGATTGTCACATCATTTCTTTTCATAGAAGTAACATTTATGATGTTAAATACAGTCAAATTATGTGTGAAGAACATTAATTTGTAACATTCAGAGTAGAACATTAAACGAAGCTCGCTTGACTTTCACCATGATAAATGAAGTTTAAATTGACTTCCAAACATTCACTTCCCCAGCAATCGAAATCATTATGAAATGATTTTAATTTGATGACTGATTCAGAGTCACAAAGATTTAATTTTAAAGCAGATGCAATTTTTTCAAGCACATTATGGTTCATGAATCCCGATGATGATTCTCAAATTTAACTGGTTTAAAGCTTGAACGAAAATTGGATGACATGCAGTAAATATTTTAATTGAATTGTCTTTAAATTAAATTTCAGGTAGGCTTAGATTTTTAGATTTCAGATAGATAATGCAATGCAAACATATTTCACATTATAAATTCTCACAAAGCTTTAAACATCTAATAAATATCTCAAACCTTTAAGGCAATTTTCCTTTTTCAGTCTCTCAGCTTGCACAACAACTTTTTACCAATCAAATGAATAATAATTCCACATTACGCTTCTACGCTTAAGTCACGTCCTAACATGAGATTATTCATCGATTTGATCAGCAAATATAACACTCATGCAAGTCGAAGTTGAGATAATATTTCTTTCTTCGTTTTTTGTTTCATTGAATTAAGCGAAACTCAAAAGACCACACATGGCATGTGGCTAAACCATATCAAAACTTAAAGATATTTCACGTCTTTATGTGATGGCGGTTAATTCTCTTGTCTTGCCTTTTTGTATCTTTTAAAGAGAGAATTTTCAGGATTTCCATTCGCTATGGTTGTAAATTTATGGCTTAATTTTCATTGAATGTCTTTTTGATGAATTTGAAAGTTCTCCTATCGCGTATTCTGCAAAGTCATTTCAAGCAGATCATCAGCGGACATAATAGGATTCTTTTCGGAAATTTCATGGACCTGAAGCAGCAACTTTTGTTCTTTTCATCTTCTTGCTATTTGCTGTTGTGATTCTATCATTTCAATGGCATCCTTCTATTCTGATGTTTTAATTAATCCTTTGTTGGGTAGAATGACTCGATAATACTCAGAAAACTCAGAAAAAAACGAAAGAAAGAAATCTGTAAATCATCACTGCTTTTTTTGATTATAGAAAATGTGAATTTTATGGATCATTAAAAGGGACTGCTAAATAACTTCTCATCTAAATGTTTACCACACAGACACTTCGCGCCCTACAAGCTGTCGGTGTCGCTTTTGATCGTTGAATGTTGTTCATGGTACGGAGATTTTTTCTTTTTCTTTTCCTTCTTCCTTATCTATCTTTTCCCTCCTTGAATTAATTTTTTAATAAAGAATAAACAACGAGACCGCGTTTGAATAAAACGATTCATATTTTATTAAAGATTGTTAGTTTATTTGATGAGTGGCCGTAGCGAAAAGAAGAATTCTTTAAAGTTTTATTTCATTTCCAAGAGACAACTCGCAGCAGCACATTTCAAAACGAGAATTGAGAATTAAGAAGAAAAGTTCATGCATGTAATAATCCAATAAAGTTTCCATTCAATACACGACAGTAAAATCTTTTCAATGGTAATCGACAATCGTCCGAGCATTATTGGAAAATTAATCGATTTTAAATTAATTAATTCACTGAGCTGATCTGATCTGTCGGCTTCTACCTTTGATTAAAATCTTTCAGATTATCTTCTTTTCATAGTCGATTTAGCGCATCTGCGCTTTATGCTTCAAATGGAATTTGAATGAAAAGAAGGAAAAAAAACCGCTTTGTGAAGAATCAATTAGATAATTAAACTTCAGATTACGTTTCGTTTTTCTCTCTTATTCCGCTTTCAAGTGAATTGTCACGTCATGAATCTTTCGAATAAATGAACTGATTAAGTAACTTTTTTTCTTCGTCTTTGAAATATTATCAGCGCCACTTTGTGACATCACTTCCATTCCACTAAATTGTATCCGATTGATAAGAGTTTTCTGAGAAGATAAGCGATGATAAAATGTGGGAGAGTTTGAATAAATATCAGAAACTTTACCTTCATTCATTCATTCATTCTTCAATAGTAAAAGTAAAATAAAGTGTTTAAAGTGATGGCAAAATATTCCGGTCACATTCATCCATTTGAAACTGGTCAAGTGATAACTATTTCCGGCAAAGCATCATCATCTCCAGATCGCATTGACATTGACTTGTCAAGTGGAAATGGAATGCATAATGACGTCGGTGATGTTCAATTACACTTGTCAATAAGATTCCAAGGAGCAGGTGAAATTGTCAGAAACACTCACAAACGTGGAGGTGGTTGGGGACAAGAAGAACGTCACGAAAATTTATTTCCAAATAATGCTGCAAATCCTATTCGTCGGGGTGAAGATTTTAAACTCGCAATTTATACCGATTCGAATTTATTTTTCGTGTCAATCAATGACAAGCCATTCTGCTACTACGCGCATCGTTTGCCTTTAAGCGGTGTTCAGCTAATCACAATCAACAGAGATGTTGACAGAATTTACCAAGTTGATCACATCACGTCACCACCTAGTTTATGGCCCAGACATCGCGCAGCTTTCAGTGGTTTCATGCCTAGACAACTTAGAGCGGGAAGTGTCATTTCTTTTTCATTGACTCCTCGAGGAAATCGTGGATCATTCATCTTCAACTTGAGAGAGAACGGGACCGACAGAATATTATTCCATATGAGACCGTATTTTAATAATGGAACAATTGTTATTAATGACCAAGATGCCAATGGCAGGTAAGACAACCCAACAATATTTCTAAATAATTGCAGAGAAAAAAATTATTTTTTATTACAGTTGGCGATCTGAACTGAACAGTGCGCCTGGAGCATTGCCAATGAATCAAAAAATCAGGTTTGCAGTCGGTTTAACAAATCAGAAGTTTGTGATTGGATTTAATGGAAGAATCATCTCATCATTTCCGTTCAGAGAAAATGCAGCCACGATTTTCAATTCTGCTACTGGATTTGAAATCGTGACAAAAAATGGACTCGAAGTTGAAGTTCATGGTGTTGATCATTCAGCTACTGATGCAAATGGTACAGGTTTTGAAAAGTTCTGTTTGTAAATCAAACAAGATTTTCATTATCACGAATATAAAATTTTTATCTAATCTTTTTCCGAAGTTCAATAAAATATTGTTTAGGTCATAAACAGAGTTGAAAATTAAACTTTATTTGGCTATTTGTCAGAAACCTTTAACTTCATTTATTCACTTGTCAATAGTGGTGTAAGAAAGTCATTCAGTTTAGAGAATTGAGAGATTAAAATAACAACTAACGACTTTAGTTCATCCTTGAACTAATACAAAACACAATTGCAAATAAAGAAATTCCTTCCGGCTACTTAAATCAGAGAGCTAACATCTGGTGTTATCAGTTGTACCTTCATAATAAACATTTTTACAGCGTTATAAGTGGAAGCAAAATAAAGTTGGTGAAAGCAATGATTAAAGCAAGATATTCAGGTCATGTTGATTCATTTGGAGCTGGTCAGGTGATAACTATTTTTGGTAAAGCATCATTATCTTCAGATATCATTGGGATTGACTTGTCAAGTGGAGATTTCAATTATGACTTATATAGCAGTGATATTCAATTTCATATGGCAATAAGATTCCCAGGAGTTGGTGAAATTGTTAGAAACACTCACAAACGTGGAGGTGGTTGGGGACAAGAAGAACGTCACGAAAATTTATTTCCAAATAATGCTGCAAATCCTATTCGACGTGGTGAACATTTTAAAGTTGCAATTTATACCGATTCGAATTTTTTTTACGTGTCAGTCAATGACAAGCCATTCTGCTACTACGCGCATCGTTTGTCTTTAAAGGATGTTCAGAAAATTACAGTCAGCAATGATGAAGAGGTTGAGAGATTTTACCAAGTTGAGCACATCACGTCACCATCTCGTTGCTTTGGGCGAGAACTTAGAACAAGATTTTCATTATCACGAATATAAAATTTTTATCTAATCTTTTTCTGAAGTTCAATAAATTTTTTTTTGGATCATATAAATATCTTTAATTGGAAAAAGAAAACATTCTGATTGAGACTAAGCGCCTTATGTTGTTATGCGGCGTGTTGTCAAATCAAAGAAGTTTATGTTTTTTATCTTATTGATGTGGTTAAATTAAAAGTTGTGTTCAAAGGGAGAGTCCATTGAGCTTTGTATGATCTGTAAAGTAATTTTATTATTTTCAGTTTTAACTGTCTGTGAACATTTTAAGCACACAATTTTCATAGATATCTCATAAACATTAAATATCTAGATATGAAATGTTAGTCATTTAACTTAAGCCAACATTTCTGCCATCAAAGAAAGACAAATAATAACATTTTCACATAAACAAAACGATATAAGCCAAGCCTAATAGCTATAAACCACACTCTATTAATAATTGCTAATTGACTCATTTTTTGCTGCCGCATTTTCCATTTGACTGCCTTTTGAAACGTCGTTCAATGTGTCTTATAAACTTTCTTCAACTCAACATCGACTTCAACCAAACGACTGCAGTACGATGATACATAATGATCCTCGCCAACTTGTCACATTCAATTAAATATTTTATTTTTTTTAATTACCCCCAATACACTGTGTCGCTGTTTTTGCAGCTTCGGTGTGCGCTAAATAATATTTTCATTAAAGTATTCTTCAGTCACATGTGTTTTGACACAAAAGCGATTAATGTAATTAAGTAGAAATCCCGTTTAGATATTTCATACAGTTGTGATGGTAGAGAGAGAGAGATAGAGAGAGAAGGAATGAATTCTGTCAGTCGAACGCTCGAAAAAACACGAAAATTAGAGAAGGCAAATCATGTCTAATTAATTCAGAGAATTTTTCATGTGAATGCAACAAAGAGCTCTCGATGCAATCGTTCAACATTTTTTATTAGTTTAATTAACGTTTAAAGAGGGAAATTCGTTGTGAAAATTATTCAGATTAATTCGACAAGGACGGAATTTTCATCTTTTTTTTCCTTTGTTTTATTTTGCATACAAATTGTTAATGTTTCTGTTTTATTTTTTTGTCTAATTATTTTTACATTATCGTTGATCAAGGAAATGACATTTCAAGCTCTGCAGTTCATTAAATCAAATGAAAATAACAGAAATGACTGTAGCTAATAAAATAATCAAGATGAATTGGTTAAAACATGGTTGAGAAGGCGTGCAAAATTGTTGTCAAATGTTCCTTACATTAGGAATCGTTTGTGATTTTAGTCACAGAACATTCTGCTTGTCAATTGCATCATCGACAATACGGATCTTGGCTTGGATTAGCGATTAAGATTCGGTAGTTAATCTTTGTAAGTTTTTGTTGTTTATTGACGTCTTTAAATATTTTAAAATGACATCGAAATGTAAAAAATTCTTCGAAACATTCCAAGAATTAAATTTTTCTTCAATGGACATTCCTTTACCTCAATGATGGTGTGAAGTTCTAAAGCAAATATAATTATTAGTTCCTATTAAACATATTTCTGTTGGCAGACATGATTTTGTATATTTTTAAACATATTTGGATTGTTAGTGGAGTAGGTGGTCGAATTTGAGAATCTTTAAATCAAACAATCCTTCATTTCGGTGTCTGTTTAAAATAAAAGCACACAAAGAGTCGGCAGAGGAAACGATGATTAAAAAAAAGGTAAACAGGAATTACATTTTAAAGTAGACACAAGCGCGAGTGTAGGAACAGAAAGACAAGAAGTCAATTTAAATATTGGACGATGCAATTAACAAGCGATTTGTTTTGGAAGATTCATTAAACATTCCCTTTGGTTTTCGATCCGAGTTTGTCTTGTGCTTCGCAGCTTTATTAATGAGAGAAATTCCTGACAGATCAATCCGGTTTGTTTTGACTTTAATCAAATAAATTCACACATTCCACTTGATCAATTACAACAGAGCATTCAACTCTTTACAATGGATCGTCTTCTTTCATAAATCTTCTTAATTTCTACTATTGGAGTCGTTTTACGATCGTCAGCAATCAATTAGACTGTAAAACAACCTAATACGCTCTTCTTAAAGTGAATTAGCCTCTGATTTTATTTCTTTCTTTGATTTCATCGTATTCGTTTTGCCTTTCTTTTTATTTCTTATTCATTTGTTCATCAAACTTTTCACAAGCACAATCGCTTGATGCGAATTAAAAGCTCAAAGTTATAAAAGATCATACGCGGCATAAAAGGCATTTATTGAAACCGATTAGCAATTAAACAACTCACTGGGTGCGTAATAAAAACTGTAAATGTAAATTTTTTTATTCAAAAAAATAAAAGTTATTAAACGATCGTAAAACAACATATGATTAATTATTTATCTCGCCAAATGGGAAACGAGAGATGTACGAGGCAAAGTCTTTGAGAACTTTTGATAGACATACGCAAAGCAAATCATTTTAATGGTAGGAAATGTTGAATATTGTTCATCATCGACTTCTTAAATTTAAATATCTGGATATTTGATGTTAAATATCATAAACCTGCTGTTCTTAGTCATATTTAATTGCTAACACTCTATGATTCCTGTTCATTTTCAAAATCGCAAACATTCTTTTTAACTTTGCTTTTATATCTTCAAACATATAAACATTAAATCATTTGAATAATTACAATATAGCTAATTAATCACACTTTCAATCCCAACGAATATGACAATGAATTTATTCATGACATCATTTATTCTTATAAGAGACAATAAAAAGTTAATTTATCCATTTACCTTACCTACACGTATGATATTTTATTTAATAAATTATAGAAAGACGTAGCGGCGTTGTCGGTAGAAATTTCTTTGATCTCACACTTCTAATTGCTGGTCTCTTTACAGATGCTGTTGTTGCTTCAAATGTTATAATCAGTGCTTTGACTTTTTTTTTTTGCTTTGTAAATCAACCGAGAGTGAAAAAACAAAAAGCCGACAATGTTTGCGAAAAACCACTAAATGGATTCCTGTTTGTTGAATGTGATTTGGAAAACCACAAATTATGTTTCTTACGAAAGATACAAGAAGGGAAAAACAAGGCAAGCTAATGAGCCATGGAATTTTAATACATAAAATATATTTTGAGTTGCATAAATAACTGCCTAAAAAAGACTTTTAAAATGCATAATGATATCCCATAGGAATGACGTTGGGAAAGTAAACCCTTTGGCATTAATGGCTTCAATGAATAAAAAACGCATCGAGAGGCAATATTTTCAGGTGTGGCGCCTGAAAAATGTTAATAAATAAAACATTATCGTCATACCATCCGGCCACCCAATTAGACACACTGAGAAATGCAACTTTAAAAAAATATTCGATGAAAATTTCGTTACCATCGGCGATCCTTCAATTTTTAATGCTTTTAAAATATTTTTACTTTATAATGGATATCGAGAATATATCCAAATATTTATGTCTGCAATTTACAATTGCATGCTTATCTTTTTAAAAACCACTGAATAATATTTTATGATAAATCATCTGCTTGAGTGTGTCAAGCAAAAAAAGTTCAAATGAAAATTTATTTACTAAGCAAATGCAAGTGTCGCCTTTTGAAATGTCTTTAAAGTAAGTCAAGCGAAGCTCCGATGGTCTAATATTTCATGCATAAAATTCTTAATTAATCATGTGTGGGTGAATACTTTTATGAAAATATCAAATATCAAGAGGCGCCAAAACTCTGCTTTCCTTTCCATCTGTAGCATAAATTGGATTAATGAATAAATTATGTTCATGATTGTCGAAGCATCGAGACTAATAACTCAATTTTTAACGCACGAGGTCGATGCTAAATAAAGTAATCAAAGAATATTTTCATCTCTTAACAGTCTTCATTCTTTACTAAATAAATCCTTTAACTACAGACTGCAGTCAACGTTTCTTCATTAAATTGCTTGAGGAGCAAAACATCAAAAGATTTCTCGATTTAACGTGTGAGGTATCAGATTGCTTAATGTTATTCCTCTCACTTTAACATTCATTCATATTTTAAAGCCCTCATTATCCCCCGGTAATTTCCTATATAGAAGTTTTCTCACAGCCATTATGAATATCGCATTCACAAATTAGACGAGAAAGGAAATTGAAGATTTAGAAGAAAAAATTAGAAAGTTAAAAACGTAACGGAGATTTTATGTAAATAATTGCTGAATGAGAAGTTTGTGTAGATATAAATTTCATAATAAATTATACGAGAACTATAATAGGTTTGCCAGTACTTTGCCTTAAAGGAAACTTCAGTACTGCCATCAATTGTAATAATAACTTCTTCTATTTGAAAACTTAGATTAGTTCTACTTCAACAGATCGTTAAATGTTGCAAAGTTGATGAAAACATGCAACTTTGTTTGTATTATTTTTTCATTATTATTCAAATCGTGTCATTAGATTTGTAAAATTGTGAAAATGATGACATCTTTTTTAACTTTAATGAACTTTATTAAAAAAGCATCTCAATCCCTTATTTTATATTCAACACAACCCTTTTCTCTTGATCTTAATTTGCTCAACGAAGATGTCCAACTGTTATCATTTAATTAATGTTGTTCACCAATCACACACCAACAGGGCGTTTAAATGAGATGAGAAAGGAAATTAAAACATATTATTATGGACCACCAAAAGCTCATTTGTATTCATAAAATGTTTTTCCCTCGGAACTTTAAAATGCGTGAAATAAGAAATTATTAGAGAAAAATTAAAGATACACAATGGAAACGTGTCATTATTCAACTTTACTCAATCCTAGTAAAGATGTGAATGAGAGCAGAAGGGGCATTGTTAGATATTTAGTTTGTAATCCCATAATTCTAATGATCATTCGGGTTAAAACTTTTTATATTAGAAGAACAGTCGTTTTAAAAATCGAAAACATGTGTCTCGTAAGTTCAGGGTTAATTGTTGTTTGCTCGAAAATCAGACCACCCTCTGATCTTTGCCTTTTCTATTTCTCCAATATACAGCTTGTGATGTTTCCCATTAACGATATCAGCTCGTGAACCAATTTTTCATGGAATTAATATCATGTGTGTTGTTACTCAATATCGTAATTGTAATTGAACTTTAATCAATATATAAACGAACAATGAAGAATTTAATTGGAAATAAATATTTCAAATTTTTCATCGAGTTAAATGAGAGTTTCATATGACGAAGGTTATTTTGGAGGGTGGAAAAGGTTAAATGAAGCTCATTTCATGCCAGTATCAAAATGATTTCGAGGATTTTATTTCATGAGTATGGAAATGTCTCGAAGATATTGTGCTGTGTCTTGATCTATTTAAAGTACGTCTTTCAATTTTCAGGGCCTGAAACATGAACATTGTACACATTTTAATGAACTCACATTTATCCCCAACATAGATACATGCACAGATATATGTTGTTACAAAATTCAAGACCAATTTACTAAATCATTAAACCGAAATTTTTCATATTACATTTTTGAGGCAATCATCTCAAAACTGTCTTGCGTGTCAACACAAAACGTGTCTAACTTGTAAATTAATTGTTTTAATTACCGTCTTGGTTTGTTTGCATTTATTTGAATATTTCGCAATACACTTTTCTTAATTAAAAGAATTAATTAGTAGCAAAATTTCCTGTGTCGTTGAGCTGCAAGCCAACAAACGATTGGCTACGAATTAATTAAAATCATAGTCGTGCAAATTGCAACATTCTTGCATGGTATGCAACCAGAGGCGCTGTTCAGAGTGGCATTAAATTTTCATCTCCTCTAATTGTAAATAATTGAAATTTTATGCCTTCGAATACTAAGAAGAAAATCACATTTAATTTCTCTTAATTAAATGTTTCTTCCAACCGATCGACACTACTTATTAAAAAAGAAAAGGCTGAACACCCCCGCATTGTGTTTAAATGGAAACAAATAACTTTCAGACAATAAATTAAACAATTTTGTTAACACCAAGGGATGACAAAAGGATAGAAAAGCAATAAATATTTAGCTTTGAGAGGGTGTTAATGTGAAAATGTTTTCAAGACATTTTTCTTTTGTTATTTTCTTCCATTCAAGGATTTTCACAATTATTTTGTGCTTCAAAGTTTGATTTTCTCGTTGAGGTTCTTAGCTTACGACTCCCTTATTTTCTATTATTCTTGATAAAATGTTTCCTTGTCAGTAAATTTTATACATGTATGAGAAGTAATACGGAAAACTTCCCCTGAACCACCTCAGAGGGTAATCAATAACAGTAAGTGGACTGACTTAGTAATAGAAACGAAAATGTAATGAAATCTTTTTTGTAGATAATCGAAAGTCATTTAATCCCAACTAATGTCATATGAAAGTTCATTAATACTCTTTTTTCGAAAAGAAATGTCAATACTATGAGCAAACATATTTGTCACATAATTTAACTTTTATTGGGTTCATTCGTCCGTTAAAAGAACATAAAATTGGTTTGAATCGCTTTAAGGAAGTTGCTGCTTAAAAGAACTTTGTTAAAAATATTTCAATTTAGAAAGACTCATAAAATTTTTCATCCGAAAGAAAAACACAAGCAGAAGAAGAAGCAACACAGAAGAAGCATCTACAAAATATTTGTAATAAAATCTATCATTCACATAAATCATTTAACACTCATGAAACGAGATCGTATGTGAAATTTCAAAAGTTATCATCAACCGCAAAGCCATCGTCCACTGGGATTATGTATAAAGCGTGAAAATTCTTGTTTTGACATTCAAAATTTCTCGAAAAAAGAAAGAAAATTAATTTTAGAAAGTGACTGACAAATTTATGACTTTTTCACATAATTTTCAACATTTAATTGATAAAGAAGTTTCTGACATATTTGAAGCTCTATCTTAATTAACTGTGATGGAAATTAATAAATAATCATGCTTGATAAGAGAATGATGACGTCTCAGAGGTCATGATCATAAGTCATTGATCATCTTAGGACAAAAACTTGTTTCATATAGCTTGAAATCTGAGCAAACCCTCATGAGACGAGAACCAAGTCATTATTTTAATTTACAGAATTACATGTTAACTCATTAATTTACAATTCATCATAATGATTGTCATTACTCGAATTAACAAAATTAATGTTTCACTTCGTTTCCAGATACCCATTGGCGCTTTTAAGATGAAGCGAAGAATGAAATGAATTGTAAGTGAAGTGAAGTGAAGTTATAAATTAATGATCAACGTAATGAACGATGGACCACCATGCTTCAGATAAGTGCTGATAAAGAAAACAAGTGCTTGAGCCGACAACGATGGTCTTCATAGGTAGCCATTGATGGAAAGAGAAGAAAGGAAAAGAAGGTTGGACGATTGAACGCCGTCTCAGCGCCTCAAAGGGTTTGAAGAACGCGTTCACTTACTTGCTTTCATCTTCTTCAATAAATTCTTCTAAAGACCTCACAATGATTCAATTTTTGATGAGAAAAATAATTCAAGAAAAAATGATTTAATTTGGTTGAACATTGTTCACTTCACCGCCATAGAACTGCAATCCTGGAATAGTTTCAGGGGTTCGAGATAGAGAATTGAAACACGATTTCTAACAATGGCTGATTTGTTCTGGTATTTGTGGGGTTCAACGATGAACAGGAATGAATTATTCTTTAACCAAACATATTAATTAAGGTTTACATCGGAAACGTGTTTTCTTTTCAAATATTTTTTGTGGATTTTTATAAAAAGGGAATGTGGATAGTAATTCATATCATTAGAACCGCGACTTCATCATTCAACTCGACTCACAAACACATTTTTGTGAGTCTTGTTGTTGATTAAAAGAAACACCTTTTATGCTGAATTAATATTTATTTTTGGTTATCCCTCAAGCATTAATTATGAGCGGTGAAAGGAAAGCTGAGGAATAGAGAACTGGAATCATTTTATATCACTGATACTTGCCTAATAGGAACTCATGTTGTAAATATTATGGGAAGAAGCATAAATTAATTCGATTGTTAGTTTTTATCGTTAAGTTTCAAATAATTTCTTTGAAAATTCTTTTAAGTACGTCAGACCATCATTTCTAACAACAAAAACTCATCATTTACAGCAATTGAAAAATGTCACCGCAACCAACTGCTGACGACATTCCGTCGAGACCTCTATGGTCTTCAATTGTGCAAAGAAGTAAATAAAATTTTCATTATCATGCATTGAAGGTTCACGATTGAACGAAAAGCTATAAAAATTGTTTGCACTTCGTCCCCATTGTTGAAAGTTCTCGTCGTGTTTACTCAACAATTTATTATGGCGAAGTCGTTTTTCTTGCCATTTTATGAATTGATCATTAAAAATGTTCATTTTTATAGCCGTAGCATGGAAAATTTTCAATTTCTTTTTGCTGTGGCGAACAAAACCAAGGAAAATGGCGAAATTCTTATTTACAAATGCAAACATTGGAATTGCTTTTTGACATGCTTTAGATATTGAATTTCTTCCTGAAGTTATATTTATGGTTTGTGATATATTCTTTAAAAAAAATTAAATTGGTTTCTCGTGAAAACCTTTCAAAATGAAAGAATGAGAATGCAAGTCGTGAGTTAAAAAAGTGATTCTTTCTTATCTGATAAATCAGATTGTTGTGGAATCTTCCAAATCTTAATGTTTACGAATTTAAATTTTAGATAGGTAATTTAGACAATTTTAAGGCCTATTCTTTTTCTTCGATATTTTGATTCAAATCTCTTCAATATTCTTCTGAACAATAATGAATATTATGAACTTTAAAGAATTGTTTAATCTATTGACAGTAGCGCCATCTTCATGTGAATTGTGAAAAATCTCTTAGCTTTCTTCATTCCTTCAAATCCTAAATTGTTATATCCAACTTTCATCAAAATTTCGAAACAGTTTTCATTTGAGTTTTAATTTAATGTCAACATAAATAAAAGAATCTTTATTTGAACTAACATAATCAGTCAATAAAATTATTTCATGAGGTAGACAAAAAATAAAACATTAGCAATTAGTCAAATCAAAATATAAAAGGTTCACTTTTAGCAATAGCAACAAGATAGTACATATTTCTCAACATTATCCGACATAGTTCCAGTTTTGATAAGTCATTTTGATGCTTAAGAATCGTTCGACAATTCTTAGCAAATTTTTTCTTCCACTCGTCTTCATTTGGTGAATCGATTGAATTGGTTGAATTGATTGTAATTGCAACTTCTGCCCATGGATAATGATATGAAGCTGGATAATCGAAGGTACAAGCGTCACATGAACATAGAAATCCATATTCACTTAGCAGAAGTTCTTGCCGATCTTCTTGTGGTGCATCAATGAAAAGAGTTCTGAGGAACAATTTTAATTAAAACGTTATAATTTTAAATGAACAAATCTTTAGCTTACCCATAGCATACAAACAGTTGTTTACCTTTCTCAATATGCTGTCGAACATAAAATACGAATTTATTATCAACAAACACTCGATCGATATTTGGTATGCAAGAATGATTCATCAGTGAACCAAATGAACAGAGACCATCACCAGCAAGTCGTGTATTTATGGAATCTTTATTGACATCTTTCGGCTTAGCAGGAATCACCCATTCAATCCCAAACGAGTTAACAGTTAATATTTTAAAGGCACGAAGAAGAAATTCTTTTGCAATGTCTCTCTCCTTTTCAAGTTTGAATAAGTTTAAAACCGGATGTTGATCAAGATATTTGATGATATCGTTACTGACGTTTGATGCCGTAACGAGAGAGAGAATTGATGTCAATAATTTTAATTTATGGGAAGAATCTTTAGTGTCACTTAAATCGAAGTCAAAAATTGTTTGCTGACAATTTGTAGTTTTATCCATTAATTGCTTTAATTTTTCAAAGCTTCCATCGCAAATATATAAAGCTTCGAAAAGCATTCGTTGTTTAATGTCATGAATTTTTGACTCGTTTCGTGCTGTTAAGAAAATTTTTGTTCCAATTCTCAAGCATTCCGTTGAACAAAACATTGCTGTAGGAATTAAAAGAGAATTAAGATTATTCTTATTTCAATTCTTATCACTTGTTTTTGAGACGATTGAAATGGTTAAGAAGGGGTTGATAAGATTTGACACCATTACCTGTTTCACTGATATTACTTGGAATCAAACTTAATTTATTTGATTTTACGCACGTTGCACAACGTGTGTGTTGAGCTTCCGAATGAACACTTTTGAAGACTGGTTCTTCGATTGCGATTATATCACCAGGAAATAAATCTTCAAACATAAATGCGACTTTATATTAAATAACAAGCAGAGATCAAATATTTACTGACCTTGATTCGCAACAACATATCGTCCAAATATTTCGCTTTTATGAAGTTCTAAGCAGTTTATAATAAATGGTATTTTTGGATTAGGAGGATAAGAAAGCTTGAAAAACTTCCACAAATTGTCGTCGTTACATTTTTCTTGTGTTTCAAGAAGTATTTTGCATTTCTCTTCTCGTTCATCCAAAATGTGAATTCTTTCATTTGGAAAACCGTTATCACGTGCAAATTGAATATTTTCCAGGCATAGTTGATATTGGTTTACATCGAAGTAAACTACACTTCGACATTCATATGCAAGAGCATCGTCGATTGATCCTAATTTCGTCTTACATAAACTTTTATTGTAACTTTCTAGAGCTTCGAAAAATTTTCCTTCATTATAAAACTTAATTCCTTCATTTCGAAGAAATTCTGGCTCATTTTGATCTTTTGATTTAACTGATACAGCCACACGATCACTACGAACTGGCTCAAAAGATTTCATTATTGTTTTCGAACATTTTGCGTTTTAAAATATATTTTTAAGAAATCCACTATGTGAAGTCATTTGTTATGATTTCAGTTGGTTGACCATTTTATTGCTCTACATTTTTATCAGATTTTTTTCCAGAAATTAATTTTTAAGATAATTATATAAATTTGAATAGTAGATAATACTTCTTTCATGTTAATTTTTTTAGGCGAATGGACCATCCTTTGGAAATAAAATCTTTTACAACCTATAGCTCCCCATATGAGAAAGAAATTATTCGTGATTTCAGGTTTTCTCCATAGATGTCAGGTTTTATAGCAAGAAGATATTTTGAAAATCTTAGAAAAAAACGAAAATGAAACAATAAAAAGAGTGTAGATCGAATCGTTCTGAAGATGACAGCATCGCTGTCGAAAATAGATATTTAAGGTAAATTAAATTAGAAAGTGAAAAGTATAAAAGTGTTTCGTGTCTATACTCGTTTTAGTAATTAATAAAAAGCTTTCACTTTTCACTTAATATTTTTATTAGTTAAAACAATTGTAGAGAAAGAAACGTTATTAACATGCGCCTTGGAAAAATGAAATATTGAGCAACAATGCGTATAAAAAAAATTGTCATAGTTTCTACTTTATTTTAATGCATTTGCTCTTTAAAATCGATAAACGAATAAAAAGTTATTAAGATTTAAATCAGCCTATTAAGAATAATTATAACAGAATATTCGCCAAAAGAGTATAGTGTAGTAGTCGAGCAATAGCAGAAATAGGTTGGCCCTCGAATAATATACTAGAGTAGAATGCCCCGTGTAATAGAAGTAGTGAGATGAACATAAATAAAGTTTAGTTAATTGTGGACGGCCTAAACGGCCCAATCATTTGTCTTTTACTTGTATACACATAGAAAAGTTCAAAAAATATTTTTATTAAATAAAATTGAACTTGTAAGCTCACGAGAACTTTCATGACGATTTTTAATCCTTCACTAAAGGAAATTGTTTGTGAACTGAAGACAACATGGAAATTATTGACAATTTATATATTAAAATTATTGGCTAAAAAAGTTCATTGTTAAATTTGGCACGATCAATGTGATTTTTGGAGAAACGAAATCAAAGAGATTAACCCAATAAATTATTCAAAATATGTTGAAAGCACCATTTTTTATTATTTATGGCTTAAAACTTTGTAGAGAGGTAGAGAGCATAGTCCAAAGTAGTTCTCTACAAAGTTTTTAGCCATAAATAATAAAAAAATTGCTGAGAAAATTAAGTTCGAAACTAATGGTCGATAATTGGACGCGATTTCGAGGTGATGTAGAATTGCACAAGTACCCTATATTAATATTAGATGGCTTTAATTTGGCTATATTTCATTAGATTAAACATTTTTTGAATCTGTATTAAAAATAAACTTATAGAATTTCATCTTGTCTGGTGATAAAGCTATCAGTCGACTGAACTCTTCAAGGCCAAACTAATTTCTTCAAAACAGTCGAATCGCTATAAATGGAAGCTCTAAAAGAAGAAAAAGCTCCATACATGACAACCCCTTCAATTATATTCAAATTGGAAAGCAGTTCTATAAGAAGACAAGTTGTTTACATGACCACCCCTCACCTTCCACTTATTCGACTGTATTCGTCTTCTTATCAATTAATGTTTTTGCAAAATTGAGCTAAGAATTCATTCATTACAGTTTTCGTTTGAACGTTTCACGATAAAGATTAATGAAATTTTTTGTTCCGGTTATTAGCGATAACTGTAAAAGTTGTTCAAAAATTTTTTTACATGAATTAATCCTTTATTTTACTTAAGTTATCTTCTTATTGGTGTGAATACTTGTGAATTAGAAGCTTTTGTTTAATTTTCAATTTGCAACAAAAAGTAAAGCAGTAAACATGTGAGACAAAAATCTTTAATCTCATGTAATTTTCCAATAATCTTCTTTTTCAAAATAATGAAAGGTTTTCGATGTCGATTTTAATTATCTCCACGTTTGTGTTGAGCAATGCTCTTGTTCTTGAATGTGAATACAAAGTACAAGATTTTTGGATGGCAAGCAACCTTTATCATTGCGCCAACGCAAGAATAATTTTTGTCGGTGATCCAAATAATGTGACAGAAGTAACTTCGAATCACGTTGGTACTAAAAGAAATGAGGATGTTGAAGGATTAATCATTGCAAAAGATCAAAAATTATCGTTCTTGCCTCGAAATATCAATCACTTCTTTCCAAATCTGAAATCATTCGCTGTTAGAGAAAACTTAGTAAAGAACATACAACAATCAGATATTAGCGTTTTCCCGGAATTAATGCAATTAGATACGTATGGTAATAAAATATCGTCACTTGATTTCGACCTTTTCCAGAAAAATCCAAAGTTGCAAGCAATCAGTTTCGCCGCAAATCCAGTGCAGCACATGGGATATGGAATATTCGATCATTTGACTCAACTTGATTCGATGGGCCTCCAAAATACTTGTCACAATATCGCTTTTGAACGTAATAGGGCCCGAGTTCTCATTGAGTTACCTAATTTTGTCCAAAAATGTCCACCGACAATCGATATGTTTGAAAGAAAAATTTTGGATGGAGAAAAATTCGAAAAGTCAGTTGATCGACAAATCGTTGAGAAAATAAGTCCTTTGACTAAGGAAAACTCTCAGCTGCGTCAAGAATTGGCTCAGTTGCGTCAAGAATCAACTCAGAATGACGATCGTGACATTGAAAATTTAGTTAATCAACGAATCGCTGAGAAAATAAGTCCTTTGACTAAGGAAAACACTCAGCTGCGTCAAGAATTGGCTCAGTTGCGTCGAGAATTAACTCAGTTGCGTCGAGAATTAACTCAGTTGAGCCAAGAGTCACCTCAGTTTGACAGTCGTGATTTGGCAATGTTCGAGTGGATTTTGAAAGTTTCATGATTTTTAACTTAATATTTAGAGTTCTTTTTTTCCTCAAGAATTAACCCATTAAAAATACTGTTTTAATGAACTTTAGAGAACAAATGAATTGTACCTAATGGAAACGTCAGTAATGACAAATACAATAATCAGCAAAATTAAACTTTGGAAATAAAAACTTCAGTTTAAAGCCAGCTTTAGGCCAATCAACATCAACTGTGTTATTACTTTATATTATAAAATGAAAATTAATTTCAGGAGAAATCACTGTCTCTAAAATTTGGTCCTTCGAGAGAAAAAAATCAGTTTATGTGAAACGCGAAGTTTCTTGTTAAAGTTTAAAATCCTTCTAAGGTGCATGAAAAATCAGTGAGGGAATTTCATAATGAAAAATTCAAAACTCCTTCAAAGGTACTGAAAAGATGTTATGCTATTCTTTTCTAGTTCGTTAGCTACAAAGAGTAAGCTAAAATTAATGTAAATAAGTCATTGAATGTGCGCAAGTTAGGGTGAATGATCATTGATTTCGTCAAACATTGCATATTTGACTTTCAGACGCAGAAAAAAGTTTGAAAGAAACAACTAATTAGGGTAGTTGGCTAGTAGTGCACCACCCGAAAACGCGTCCAGTAGTGCACCACTTTATTTTAATTTAATTTTAACAGCAATTAGGGCTTACCGGAAGAAACGTTTTTTAAACTATTTATCCTTGAACCTTCCTCTAACGTTATGCATTAACACATTCGTTCATCTAGGTCTTGTTTGCTTAATAAATGCTTTGGATCATTGATCGGTCAAAAGCATCGAAAAATATGAAAAATTTGCTAAGCGACAGCCCGACAAAACGAAAACTCGCGGTTTTTTACTTGGAAACATGCTAAATTTTGAAGCAAAAAAAACCAAAAGAAGCAAAAGTTTGTTTACATTTTGCAATTGACATTTAAAAACACAATTGAAATTGAAAAATAAAAACAAAGTATTTAAACTATTAATATTAAAGGAAATCCATTGAAATGCAACATTTAAATAATTATTTTCTTTTAAAAACAACAACAGATGCGAACTCTTCTCGATAAAAATTTAGTTTTGCTTCCATGGTGCATAACTAGCCAAGGGAAGCAGAAGTGGTCCGTTGCTAGAAGCGGACCATGGTGCATAACTAGCCGAGGGAAGCAAAGAGTGGTCCGCTACTAGCCAAGGCTAGACTGGCACAAAACATTAAATTATAGCTTAACTAAGTAGTGTTGAGCGTTTGCTTAAAAACAAAATAGGACCTAAAAGAATACAATTTCAAAACGTAAAAGAAATTTTCTCAAATTTTATCTGCCTTCGGAAGTATTAATATTTTTGTAAATTCTCAAAGTGTTAAGCCTTAAGTGGTGCATAACTAGCCAACTACCCTACTTGACTAATTACAAATATTAATCAAACTTTACCACTGACAAAACTTTTTAGTTGAAATTTTTAATTGTTCCTTTTTTTTAAAACTTTGACAATACTTTTAAGTTGAAATTTTTTTTGTTATTTGTTAGCATTTAAAACATGAGATAGACAACAATCTTTTACTTTTATTCAGCAAAACTCATTTAAATACATTATTTAGAAAAGACAAAGATATGCTGCATCATAAGGGTTCGCCTGTTATTGCAGCTCAAATGCAAAAATAAAAAAAAAGAAATAAAAAATAAACTAAATATAATAGTTCATTAAGAAACTTATAGGGTAAAACAAGGTATTGTGAACACAATGTTTTTTGTAAGGTATTGTGAACACACGTAATTTCGAATGCGATTTTCTTCGCTATTTTGCATTCAAATGGATCAAAACTTTGTATAGAAGTAGTTTGAACTATCTACTCTACTTCTATACAAAGTTTTGATCCATTTGAATGCAAAATAGCGAAGAAAATCGCATTCGAAATTACGTGTGTTCACAATACCTTACAAAAAACATTGTGTTCACAATACCTTGTTTACCCTAGTTAAATTTAACGTAGTTTCTTAATGAAGCGTCAAAAGTTCATAAATGTTTCGACTCATTGAAATTTCTTCATTTGAATATTTACAAATTATTTTCTATCAATCTATCGGTCACCAATAACTTCAAAAAAAAAATTTGCTAGATGCTACAATTTGTCGCAATTATTGCTTTAAAGCCTTCGAAGTCTTTCATTTCAGAAAAAAATTCCGAAATGCAAGTGTTGTGACGAAAATTGACCACTTTCAGTTTCTTCAACGGTGTAAACAATTCGAAATCGATGTGCTTAAGTTTATTATAATCCATGACAATTAATTCCAAATTTAAGTTTTTCCTAAAAAGGCGACCATCGAGATATTCAATTTGATTCTTGTAAGCAAAAAATTCTTTTAAATTAGGATTATTGATGAACAAATCGACGTCAAATGAAACAATCTGATTTCTTTGAAGATGTAGTTTTTTCAAACCTGGTACATCGTAAAAGGTGTCTGCTGGAATATTAGTAAGTTCATTATAACCCATCTCAATAGTTGTCAAAGATTGAAATCCACTGAAATCACTTCTTTGAATATGCTTCAAATTTGTTTTGAAGGCACAATATCTTGTAAGGTTTGGAAAGAGTTCTGGAATTCCATGTGGTAAATATGATGTCTCTTGGAATAAGATAGAAAATTTTGTGACGTCGTTGTTGCTACGTTGTCCAAGATGAACTCCCATTATTACTGAAACTTCCACATTAGGCTGCTGAATGACGAGGTTTTTTGGGAAGCAGTGATATCTTTTACCGTCTTCTAAAAAAAATTTGCATGTCATATCAGTTTCAACGCTCATTTCCTTAGCTATCCAATTTGAAAATTTTGAAATATCTGTGAAAATTGAATAACTTTCAACGTCACAATTTCCTTCTTCCGTGACAAGTGAAGACGAAACGATTCCTTTAATTAACCATTTAGAATTTTCCTTCATAAAGAAACCACCGCCACTGTCACCTGTATAGATCATTCGATAATTAATGCTTAATTAAAAGTTGAAATGTTTTTCACTTCACCTTTACATGGTCCACTTCCATTTTCACCAATAGCACAAAATGTACGACTTGAAATTAAATTTGCCATAGGTTCAACTTCATAGCAAACTTCATTTGTAACTATTTTAAGTTCGATTTGTCTTGGAATTAATTGATGTTGGCTTGTCAATTGATCTTCGATTATTCCCCTGAGTTCCACATAAAAGTTAAGTTGAAACAAATAATTAAATAATAAATAAAAATAATTAATACTGTTTGCCTACAAATTCTATTAGAGCAAAAATTCGTCTAATGGGTAATGATTCGAAATTTCGACTTTGCGAGTCAATAACTTCTTTCTGTTTCAATTTTTTTCTAATTTTAAGGTTTTAAAATATCAATCAACTAATCAAGAGTTGATTTATCTTGATAGAAAAAATATTCGACAGAAACTTTCATTACACGAGAATGAAAAGTAAACACTTTAATGTGGTCATACAAAATCGAATTTGGACACATTAGTCGATCGTTTGTGGTCAGTGCTTGAACTCGACAACAACTTTAAAAAAATTGTTTCTAGTGTTGTTTTTATCAAGTCAGAAGGCAACAGAATACAATTAATCTTGTTTTTAATTAAAAGAAAATAAATTTACAAATGCGACTCCATATAAAAATGATATGACCAAATTCGATCACGAAAATGTGTGAGCAAATGTTTTAATAGTTTATTTAATAGAAACTATTATGAAATTCTCTTTCATCAATCCTCTTCTGCACATGATTACCTATCTTTTTGTGCAGGTGGATGAATAAAATAACTTAAATTAATATATTTTTTTGCCTGTTGAAAATTCGAAGCGAGAAGAAAAAATGGCTGATTTCGAAACAGAATTTCTACGATGAAATTAAATAATTTATGTTGGGAAATTAAACTCATTTAAAGGCCAAGTGAGTAACCTAAAATGAAATTTACTCCCAAAACTTTCATCATGTATTTTTTTTATGTTGAAAAAATAAAATTTAAGACCTAAAAATTAATAAATTAGGTGTCCAAATTAGATATTACCCACAAACGATCACTAACCAAATTCGGTAAATTACTCTATATACGGAGTTTTAAATATCGGGCTTTACACAATATTTACTGTGGTGACTTTCAGTTAAATAGATACTTCTTCTTTATATTTTTTTTTCTATCAGAAAAAGGCTTTCTATGGCATGTAGCCGAAATATTAATATGGGAACCGCATAATAAATACATCCATCCTGACCCGAAAGCGGACAGATTTGTTTTTACTTTTTTTCTGCTTTTCTTAACGATTTAAGTCAATTTAAGTATAGTGGAACATAGTTTTGTCCCCCTTGAATCGAATTTTTTTAAAAATTTTCGATAAAATAAAAACCTCGATAAACTGATATTTTTTGTCCCCCTTGAGATATCAGTGTATTGAAGTTCCACTGTAAAATAAAAAATAAATTGAAAATTTTGCGTGAATTCAAAGAAATTACCAGCCGACAACAGTTCCAGTCTGAATATTTCTCATTCCTAATGCAGACGTCCATAAGCACGCAGGAAAAATATTCGATCTTAATGGAACAATTCCATCCATTTTAATTAATGCTATGTCGTAATCGTATTTGATTTGAAAAATATTCCAATTGGGATGAATTTTTATGTTTTCAGGAAAAGCTGTGATTGAACCACGTTCATGGGCAAGACTCAAGTTATATTTTCCGAGATGCAAAACGAATTGTGATGGTGTTAATGGTGTTTGCTGTCTTTTTTCTTGAAGACAATGTGCCGCTGTTAGGACGTGACTACGTGAAATGAGAGTTCCACCACAAAAAAACTCTCCATCAGGATTATACGTCAATGCCACTAGGAATGGCCACTGATTTTTTTCCACCACTTTTCCATTGTAGATTCGTCCACTAATTTTTAAAGATACACCACACTGGCTCTCACTGTTGGTTCCTTCTACAAGGTTTCCAGATTGAATTTTCGTTATCACAAAAAGAATAAGCAAAAATTTCAGCACAACTGGGCTGTTTAAAATCATTTTTAGGAATAAGTCAAGGAGATTTTGCGAATATAATTTCTCTTCTCAATGTTTATAATTAAAGATAAGGCATGTGTAAGTACAATCGATCATCGAGATATTCAATTTGATTCCTGAATGCATAAATTGTTTTTATATTTAAAATTGACTCCTGCTATTGAAAATATTAAAAACAATGGATACTTTTAGTCACTTTGAAGTATCTTCAGCCCATAAAAATATGCGAGAGTATAGAATTGAATTTAAAAGTCTCCATTTTCAAATGTGTGAAATGAAATTCACATATATATTTAGAACTGTTTAATGTGTACTTTAAAATCTGAAATAATGATGTCATGAATGAATTTATATTATATAGGGTGGTTGGCCAATTATCTAATATTAATGTAGAGAGGTAGAGCATAGTTCAAAGTAGTTCTCTACAAAGTTTTTAGCCATAAATATTAAAAAATTGCTGAGAAAATTAAGTTCGAAACTAATGGTCGATAATTGGACGCGATTTCGAGGTGATGTAGAATTGCACAAGTACCCTATATTAATATTAGATGGCTTTAATTTGGCTATATTTCATTAGATTAAACATTTTTTGAATCTGTATTAAAAATAAACTTATAGAATTTCATCTTGTCTGGTGATAAAGCTATCAGTCGACTGAACTCTTCAAGGCCAAACTAATTTCTTCAAAACAGTCGAATCGCTATAAATGGAAGCTCTAAAAGAAGAAAAAGCTCCATACATGACAACCCCTTCAATTATATTCAAATTGGAAAGCAGTTCTATAAGAAGACAAGTTGTTTACATGACCACCCCTCACCTTCCACTTATTCGACTGTATTCGTCTTCTTATCAATTAATGTTTTTGCAAAATTGAGCTAAGAATTCATTCATTGCAGTTTTCGTTTGAACGTTTCACGATAAAGATTAATTTTTTGTTCTGTTTATTAACGATAAATGTAAAAGTTGTTCAAAAAATTATTTACTTGAATTAATCCTTTATTTTACTTAATTATCTTCTTATTGGTGTGAATACTTGTGAATTAGAAGCTTTTGTTTAATTTTCAATTTGCAACAAAAAGTAAAGCAGTAAACATGTGAGACAAAAATCTTTAATCTCATGTAATTTTCCAATAATCTTCTTTTTCAAAATAATGAAAGGTTTTCGATGTCGATTTTAATTATCTCCACGTTTGTGTTGAGCAATGCTCTTGTTCTTGAATGTGAATACAAAGTACAAGATTTTTGGATGGCAAGCAACCTTTATCATTGCGCCAACGCAAGAATAATTTTTGTCGGTGATCCAAATAATGTGACAGAAGTAACTTCGAATCACGTTGGTACTAAAAGAAATGAGGATGTTGAAGGATTAATCATTGCAAAAGATCAAAAATTATCGTTCTTGCCTCGAAATATCAATCACTTCTTTCCAAATCTGAAATCATTCGCTGTTAGAGAAAACTTAGTAAAGAACATACAACAATCAGATATTAGCGTTTTCCCGAAATTAATACAATTAGATACGTATGGTAATAAAATATCGTCACTTGATTTCGACCTTTTCCAGAAAAATCCAAAGTTGCAAGCAATCAGTTTCGCCGTAAATNTTTTTTTACGATAAACTTCGTTTAAAAATTGTTGCAGAGAACTCCAGAAAACAAATGAATTGTAACTAAAATAATAATAAAAATTATGAAGTTTTTATATAGAAAGCAAATTTTTTTTTAAATTATATGTCGCAAAAGTCGTGTTTAAAATTGAAGAAATTAATTGAAAGCTATTAGTAAGCAATAAGAAATCATTTAGAAGGTCAAATGTTTCCGCAAATTTCACCAACAGACACTGATAATAATTCTTTGGTGATTGTACGATTGGTTGAAATATTTGCCAACTTCACAAAAATAAACAAGTAAAAATCTTCCGACTGAAAGCCAACATATTTCGACACTGATAATGTTTGAGAATTGAATAAAAATGTGTCATTTACATACAAATGGACTTGGAATATTTTCTCATTTGTTATCATCAAAATTCGTAAGCTAAAATATTTATAAAATTGATTTATTCAAACCAAAAACACAAAAATGAATGAATCAATGTAACAAAACTCTTCTCCAGACACCGATGACGTCATTTCACTTACTCAAATATCTACAAATGTAAATCAAATAAGCAAACGAGAAGAGTTATAAAATAGAGATAGTTGAAAGAAAATTTTAATTCTGAAGAAATGATAAAATATCACGCAACAGCCAATATACATTTCCATTTTGTAATTTGTTTTATTACACAATATTCAACTAAAACTTATTGTAAAGAATTAAGATTCATATTCCTAACAACAATGAAATTAGAGCTTTCGGAAAATTTGGAATGTTTGACATTTGAAATTTTCATTTTTTCAAGTTTCATCCTGACAGGAAAATATTCAAAAATATTCAAAGATTTATTACCAGTTAAACAACTGGTTGCGTATAGAAATGCGTTTAATTTTCAGCTTTCAATTGGAGTAGAAATACAGAAACCAAACACTTTTTAATTGTAGAATGAAGAATTTAACTGATTCGAGTGCTTTTCTAATCATTTTTTACATTTTTTATATGATCATTTTCATAAATTTAAAGCGGTTGTAATAAAATTTGTTTATATTTAAGCTGATAATTTTGGACACAGTCGATTTAATTAAACATTAACTCGTGCGACGGAAAGCGATAAAACTCTTTGAGCTTCTGAATAAAAGCCTTCTAAAAAATTTCCTTTTAATATTTTGTTTGTAATTTATTTGATTAAATAAAAATAGTTGAAGACGATGAAAAGAAAAAATATTCGTTCACTCATTGTAAATGCAAATTAGAGCAAAATTCTTTTATGGCGTTTTAAAGATAATTATTCTCGTGACTGATATTCTTGATCGTGATTTACGGAGGCCCCACCCTAGGGTGACGGGCAACCGTATTGGATTTACGCAAAAATTTCAAAAAATTTTCTTTGCTTAGTTACACTTAAAATGGCTTGAAACGTCGAGAAAAGTGGAAAAAAACGAAAAAAAAATTTGTGTCCGCTTTCGGGTCTGTGGGGATGGATGGATGGATGGATGGATGGATGGATGGATGGATGGATGGATGGATGTAGACACTCCCATTTCCACATTTCTTAACCGATTTGAAAAATTTCTTTACCAAAGTGTTTTAAATACAAATAGAAAGTTTCTATCAAATTATGGGGTGTGTACCTTTATTACTTCGGGTACCTGCCATACAAAGTTGCCCTTTTC